ATGTCTGCCATGGAAAATGTCCCATTGACGATCAGCTATTTTGTGCTGGTGTTTATCGGCATCACTGGAAATTCACTTGTAGTTTCAGCTGTATTAAAAAATCGAAATATGCGATCGACAACGAATATTCTACTGGCGTTTGTGTCGGCTGCAGATTTAATCTCGCTAATTTGCTTCATTCCGTTTGCCATTCTTCTGACTTTTAAACTTCCAGGAGGAACACTGGGCGCCGTGTTGTGCCGAACGTTTGCGACAGCTAACACATCCAACGCGACAATCGTGGTATCTATCACCACTCTGACACTGTTGGCTGTCCAGCGATTTCGCGCGCTCTTGAAACCCTGGAACAGCCGGCTGCGTTTAACAAAAGACAGCGTTTTCTACTGGATCTTTGGAATTTCACTTTACTCCTTTATTCTTGTCATCCCTCTCTTCTCATTTATGGAGTTCGATGAAAAAGAAAGAACATGCTCTGATTTCAGAGAAATCAAGACTGAAAGACGCATATACTACTCATTGCTTGGTTGTGGAGTGGCTTTGGCTCTTTTTGTGATTTGCTTTTGTTACTGGCGAATTATCCGGGGATTCTACTTTGGGAGCCAGCGACTATGCGTTAATGAAGAATTACAGCAGAAAAGAAAGGTCGTAAAGTTACTGCTTGTGATAACTTTGGCTTTCATGATCTGTTTTACACCTCGCGCAGTCTATTTTCTTTTCTTTTATTCCAACAGAGGCCCTTTTAATCAAATTTCTTTCTTTCTGATACATTGCAACTCAGCCACGAATCCGATTATTCTCTGGTTTCAAAGTCAAAATTTTCGAGCAGAATTCAAAAATATGGTAACGAAATCAACTGCAAAATCAAGAGGCTGACATGCTTTGTCTCTAATGATTAAACCCATATCGATAACCATGTATATTCATACCTAATGGCATTGAATTTAATTCAAGGGCTTCAAAAATTAACAAGCAAAATTGTCATCAAACCATCTTTAAAATAAACATTTTCAAATTATTTTTATAATCAAGAAGAAAGTGAATCTTTTCCCTCCCCTGGCAACAGGAAAGCGCATCTTCCTATACGTTTAGATGAAGTTAACTCAGCTTTCGTTTTCACGTATAAAGGGGCTAATTTGATAAATGCTGAGAGGAACTGTCAAAAAAGATAAATAATCAATGCTTAAACAGATGGCAGTGTCTTAAAAACGAAACTCGATTAGTTTTATATACACTAGTACTAGGCGCCATTTTTTAGATAACACAAATTCCCATAGCAATCACCATTAGAATAGACGCAAAACTGAATTCAGAAGTCAATTGTAGAATACTAAGTTAGTAAATCAACCACGCAATTGTGATTTTTCTCTAAAAAATTAACAAGTATGCAAAGCAGAACGGTCCAGTGCCCGATGACGTCACAGTAAAGTAAAAATAGAAATGACGAAGGAGCCTTCGATGGTAACAGGGAGCTTTAGCAACGAAGACGGCATTTTCAGTGAATTGGAATAAACGCGAAAAAGTTTGAAAAAACGCGAATTCATTTTAAAAGTGACCTTTTCGCTGCTGTCGCCGTCGTCGACGCTAAAGCTCCCTAATTTTGGTTCAGCGGAGACACGAATCTCTTATTATAGTTAACTCGAGCTCCTCTTTAGAAGTGGACACAAAGGTGTCCGTTTTAGAAGAACTCTATTTCTGTCTTATAGAGCTGTGAATCAACTAAAGGTGCAGCCAACTAAAGGAGTAAAAGAAAGTAAAGAAACAGAGTAAAGGAGTAAAGAAAGATATGGACGAACACAGTATTAGCGAGGTTTCGAGGTCTCGAGGTGTCCTGTATCCCGACACATTGCATAGGGTATCTCTAGAGTTTCGTGATTTGACCAGAATACCGTGCGGGATTAGGAAAAGTGAAAAATTCCTCGGCGGGATACGGGATTTGACCGCAACTTGGGAAGTGGGATTCGATAAAATCTTGGCTAGAGTTGCGAATTTGGAAAGGAAATGGAAGTCGGTTCAGAGATGACAGAAGCTGGGGATGTGGGATGATCTTAAAAAGGAGGGGGAATGGAATCAGGACCCCATCGCCTTCCCTCCCCCTCCCCCCTTCTATACCCTGACTGTAGTTGCCGTACACAGTAGACTAGAAGTAACATTTATTCCTGGTCAAACAAGATAAAATTGCAAAAGCTAAGAAAAATGCTTGCAGACTAACGTATATATATATACATACATAAGTACCGCTATACACTCTGTACCGTTGTTAGCTTATAACAATTTCTCAACATTTACTTACAACGTTCTAACTGCTTTGAAAACTGAAACTGCCAACATAATTTTGCTCGATCGCGCCTGTGAGATTTAAACTAAAAGAGGAACTCATTATATTTTTAGAAAAGTGTAAAGGTGGGTCTATTATATTGGCTTAACTGACAAGAGCACATGAAATCCCTCAATTTCAACCATGTTTAATTTAGAGACGAAAACTGATGTCCGAACCAAAAATATTAATTGTCAAAATTGAATTAAGTCTAATGAAGCTTCCCTAAACAATCTTCATAACGAGCAAGATTTTCTTCAGTAGCTTTCACTGTCTCCTCCAGTCTTTCAACTTCAGTCTTTCTCCTTTCCTTCTCCATTAGAAGCTGGCTGATCTTGTGTTCGCATCTTGCAAGGGACGATCTTGCTTTCTTTAGATTGAGCTTTTCTTTAGACAGTTTCTCTTTCGTTTCCCGCGCCAGCTGGTGAACGCTGTCCTTGGCTTTGAGCATTGCATTGGAGTTACTGTCTGTTGCTGCTTGACTGTCATTTTTACAGTGGTGGTAATTTGAAGAAACTATGCCCACTCCACATGCCAAGGGTTTCTTATCATAAGGCAAAAGAGGTTTGGGAATCTCCGGACTTGCTTCTTTTTTATTACACCCAGTATCTGAAACATCTAAGATATCAAGTGCCGAAAGTGAAGCGTTGTCGGACACGGTTACTTTAGGGTGTGTATATTTGTCACTACCTCCTTCTTTCCCTCTCACGTAATGCTTTCTTTTCCTTTGAAGTGATGCCACTATCAAAGGAACATCGTCGTCGATTTCTTCGTCACCATCACCGTCATCATCATCATCATCATCATCGTCATCATCATCATCATCATCGTCACTATCATCGTCATCGTCATCATCATCGTCATCATCATCATCATCATTATCATTATCACCATCGTCTTCATTATCGTCATCATCGTCGAAATCTTCATCATCTTCGTCATCTTCATCGTCGTCTTCTGTTTCTTCTTGGTCAGACTTATCCGAAGCCTGATGGTTTCCTTCGGGATCCAGTTTCTCTTCCCTCACATCTTCTTCGACAGCTAAATTTGGCCAGGGAATTAATTCTTGAAATCTTTCTTTTAAGAATTCAAGCAGGACCGCCGCCTTTTCCTTATTTTGAAATTTGGAAACTACATCAATAAATGTGTCTCCTTCTCCGTTCTTTTTTTCGAAAATGTTTCGCAGTTGCGGAGTCTCATTTTCCTTGGACATGTCTTGTAGCTTTACCAATATTCCTTTCAAGTACTTTAAGAATGGAGCCGTTGTGTCTTCTTCCCCTCGAGCACACAGATGTAGTACCGTGTCGTTGTTGCGGCCTTCGTGAACTAAGAGTAGGTCTGGATCTCGTTTTAACAGCAAATCAAGTATTTTCAGAAAGACTTTTAAGATTTTTTGAGGATCTCGCGTCGTTATCCCTTCATGAAGAAATCGCACCATAGAAAAAATAATAGTTGCATTGGATTTTCCCTGGAGATTGGCGCTTTGTGGGCATTTTCGTAAGCTTATAAAGTCTTGTTCCAAGAGCCACTGGACGGCTCTAACTTTCCCGAGTGTTGCTGCCCAATGCAATAAAGGATAACTGAAATCTGGATCAGGGTCTTCTAAGGGCTTGTTGAGATCGCAAATCCCTTTCGCGGTTATTATAAGCTTTTTCCATTCTTCTATGTTTGTTTTTTTACCGGATTCTTGCAGTTTAACCAGAGAGAGAATCAAATTATTATGCTCACCGCGGAAACGACATTTGTCTTCACAGAATGGTGTGCACATTCTTCGTCCTTTTTTTGTGTGTACGCGCCCACTGAACTTCTGCTAAGACTACTTTAGTTGCCTGCCTTTTCTTGATACAGCACCTTTAAATAGCCTGAGTGAAGAGACAAAAACTTCAATACCATTTGAAAATTGTGAAAATTGCAAATATAATTCAATTGTGATAAGGGCAAATATAATTCATAATTTTTGTTTTCTTTCTTTATTTTTCCCATCACTCTTCCTGCCGTAAGGATCAGTTTACTGCTCTAAGTTTAAAACTTTAAAAGTGCATGTCATTCTAATTTCTAATATGAAAAGTGCATATACCACCTGTTAATTTCAAAAGGTCTGCGAGTTTGTAAAAGTTCCATGACAGATTGTTTGACTTTCAAAGGAGAAAGAGCCATTGGCGTGATTTTTTGTAGGGACAAGAAAAGAGAATACAAATGTCATATGTAACGTTATATCCGCATGACTGAAAATGCGTCTAGTCAGGTCTCATCACGCGATCACTTAAGAAGACAGAATCGAAGTTTATTGTAGTCAGTCATAAATTAGCGATTCGCTAGATGGCTCTGATAATTGTATTGTAATGGTCTTCTTTGCGCGTTTTTTCAGCAGAAAGGGTGCAGTTCGGGAGACTAAAATCGTTACACGAATTTAAACAGTTTGAAGACCACTTTGCCACCTTTTAAATGTTTGCATGCAGATACCTCATATGATCTTGAAAATAATGAAAATCACTCCACTCATTTGATTCAGTCCATTGGTGCACTGAAGTTGGCAGGTTTCATGGTTCACTGGAGTTTACTAAACATAGCACTTGGCTATTTCGCCTTGTGCGGGTAAACCCAAAGCTGTAATTTTCTTTCAGCTTGTATTCGATTGTATAATGAAGACCGGCAGAATGAGCAGAGTTTTAAAAAAGAAAACTCAGTTGGCAGCAAAGTATGTCGTTCGCAAGGAGGTTGCAATGTGTCACATACAGCTCAAAATTCCGAGAACTGAGCGCATCAATTCAGTTTTCCCGGAAGCAATCAATGTTAATATTTACATGTAACGGTCATTTTTATGGCCTCTTAATGAATTCCATCCTCAACTTTTTCTATAAAATTGTCTTAATTCCCTAGCTATTCTTGAATATGAGGGTTCGAATTAAAATGACGAGAAGGCGATAAATGATTGAATCGTGTTCTTCTACTATACGTAATATTAACAAGCGTTCGGCTCGGCCAGTCCATCACGTAGAAAGGTAGTCTCTCAACTGAAGCTGTCTGCTTCAGGGTAGAACACGTTTCGTTCGTTTTGTGAAACGTATATGAGCAAATGGAAACCACACAACTCGCAGGCAAAAGTTTTGGAAATCACTACGAAATTTCTATCAACTGACACTGAAAAATCCTCCACTTCTCAACAACGATGATGCCTGATGATTTATTAATTAAAGAATGATTACAGTCGATTAATATCGTATCACAACAACGAAGCCGAGAACTTCAAACAAGGAACAGATTAATTAAAAGCAAAATAACCCGTGCATCTCATTCTTTTGGTTCATTTCGTTGTGCTACACTCTGACGAGGTCGACATATAACGTCTTTGGATGCGGCGTGCTAACAAGTTTTATGGCAGACGTCAACACTGAGGATGACACGGAGAACATTCATTTGTCCGGCAGGGTTATTTTTGCAGAACTTCGAGCGGCCGCCGAATGACTTCGTAAAATTTGACAAATTGAGGCAGCTAAAGGGATCACGATGGTTGAAAGAACGAGAATTCACTTACTTTAAGCGACGTTTTTGCTGCCGTCTTGGCGATAGTAACAAACTCCATAAAAGCAGGATAAAGACACTGTAAACGTAGGATGGTAAAAATCTGTATTACCTACCAATTAGACCTACGCAGCAGTTCAGTAGTATTGACAGCGCAGCCGGTACACGTCTTCCAGACTCAGCGGGCTTTTTTGAAAACTGAAGTATGGCCAATAAACACACTGCCTCCACTCTAGCTTAGTCCCTAGGCGCTCTCTCTTGCCCTGTTGTCAGCGCAAGGTCTAGGAAAGAGCGGGCGAGTCTCTCGGTGACGTCACAGCACACGGTAGAGTCCAGGATTGACCGAGCCGAGAACGAGGGACTAGGCCGCCTCAACTCCAGGCACAATACTGCAATGTTCTAACTCACAGATTTCATAATAATTAAAAACACCTATGTAATTATGATAATTATGCTTAATCAAGAGTCATGAATTGAAGTAAAATTAATAATCAGTTACTAACGTTCGGCATACTATTGCCATCACACAAATATTGAACTGGTCATTTATGTTTCAAGAAGAAATTAGGTACCATTCGAAAACGTTTAGGTGTGATAAGGCAGACACAAGGTATAATTATACCCAGTGATTGGATTGGACGACTTGGCGGCAGAGATTACGTAACGGTTAGGTTACGGTTTGGTAAATGATAAAGCAGAGATTAGGCGCGAGAACTGTTATGATTAGGCTAAGGGGATCATGGTTTGGTCAAAAATTTGAAATGTCTTCATCCTTTCTTTTTAGGCAAAGTCAGGTAAACTGAATGTTTCTATGACTATGAAAACATCGATTAAAAAAAGTCGCAAAATTTGCATTTTTCCAAAGGGGTTAGTCTATGGGTTTGGTCAAAAATTTCAAATTTCTTCATCCTCTTTCTTTTTGGCAACAATAGCCCGGGAAAATGTCTGTGGTGATGTTTTAGGAAGAAAACTAGCCTTTCTAGACTATGAAAACATCGATTAAAAAACGTCGCAAAATTTGCATTTTTCCAAAAATGACGGTTTTCTTCAAAAATATGAAATTTCTTTATCCTTACTTTTTGGGAGAAATAGGCTGAGAAAAAGTGTTTGGTGACGTTCTAGGAAGAAAACTAGCCTTTCTGGACTATGAAAACGTCGATTACAAAAAGTCGTAAAATTTGCATTTTTCCTTAGAGGTTAGTCCATGGTTTTGGTCGAAAATTTCACATTCATCCTCCTTTCTTTATTGCCAAAATAGGCTAAGAAAAAGTTTTTGATGACGTTCTAGGAAGAAAACTAGCCTGTGTAGACTATGAAAACATCGATTAAAAAAAGTTGCAAAATTTGTGTGTTTCAAGAGAGGTCAGTCTATGGCTTGGGTCAAAAATTTCAAATTTCTTCATCGATCCTTCTTTTTGAGCAAAATAGGCTGAGAAAAAGTGTTTGGTGACGTTCTAGGAAGAATACTAGCCTGTCTAGACCCTGAAAACATCGATTAAAAAAAAATCGCAAAATTTGCATTTTTCTAAAGGGGTTAGTCCTTGGTTTTAGTCAAAAATGTTTAAATTTTTTCATTTACTTTTGGCTAAAATAGGCCGGGAAAATGACTGTGGTGACGTTCTAGGAAAAGAAGTAGGCTTTCTAGACTATGAAAAGATCGATTAAAAAACGTCGCAAAATTTGTATTTTTCCAAACGGTTTAGTCTATGGTTTTGGTCAAAAATTTCAAATTTCTTCATCCTTTCTTTTTGAGCAAAATAGGCTGAGAAAAAGTGTTTGGTGACGTTCTAGGAAAAAAACTAGCCTTTCTAGACTATGAAAAGATCGATTAAAAAACGTGGCAAAATTTGCATTTTTCTAAAGGGGTTAGTCCATCGTTTTGGTTAAAATTTCAAATTTCTTCATTTTTTTCTCTTTGGGAAAATGGGCTGAGAGAAAGTGTTTGGTGACGTTCTAGGAAGAATACTAGCCTGTCTAGACTATGAAAACATCAATTAAAAAAAAGTCGCAAAATTTGCATTTTTCCAAAGGTTTTGGTTAAAAATTTTATTATTCCTTGCTGAGCCTCAAGATGATAAATTTTGTTTTATTCCTCTAATCTTTGAATGAATTTTAGTGTACCGTAATTAATCTTTTGTGGGGTTCTTTCTTTCTATATAAAAACACCAAAGAAAAACGTCGAACACATTTTATTCAATGGACTATTAAATAATCTATGCTACCATAAACACCCGCTAATAAGAACCCGTGGTTTAAAAAGCACCTGGCAGAGATTTGCCGCTTTAATACCCCAAAATACAAGAATCTGTGTAGCCAAGCAAGATAAAACGCGTTCTTAAATGTGGGTTGAATTATGACAAACAATTTAACAAAGGAGTGTAACTTTGAGTTGTAAATTTAAAGTACAACAAGAAAGACTGTGCGAAACTGTATATAAATTCGGTAATCAGTTTGTGTTAGGTCTCGGATTATAATAAGACAGTTGTGATTAAATAAAAAGTCTATTTATTTTTCTGGTAATCAACCTAATTAAGAACCTATTGAGCCTAAATTGCAATTAAGTACCCCCCAAAATAAGAACCTACTGTATATTGCCAGAATTGAAGAGGTAGGTTTTTATTGGCGGGTGTTTACTGTTATCAAAAAGCAGCCTAAAACTGCATTTCTCAGAGACTGGTAAATGCCACATTGTGTACCTCTCTGCCCTCGTACACCTCCGACCAATGCGGAGCTCTGCTGCATATCCTTATGGTTTAAATTTTACGGGAAAGAAAAATATTGTAACTTAGATTACATTTACAATACCGATAACGATTGATGTTTTATCATTGCAAAGACACTTCCGGTTAATTAATACTTGCCTTCGAAATAGAATAATAAAAAGGCATCTGAATAGATCCACGCAAATTGCTGCGTAATAGACCTCTTCAGCTTGTACGTTTTGTTTTCCCAAAGCTGGTTTTGTGATAATACTCCTGAGAACTGTTTCTTTCAAATTTCCTCGCATTCACGTGCAATAATTTACGAAAAGACAAGGGGTCAAAGTCCAATTCCACTAGGAACTTCATTGCAAGTTAAAGAGGTCTATTTCCCAAACTGATTGCCATTAAGAAAATTAAGGTCAAAGTTCATCGTGATCTGTTGCATCATCCTCGTTGTTACCGTCATCATTATCGTCGTCGTAATCAGATTCTGAGAACTCATCATCATCATCATCAATGCACAAACCTAAAAATGAAACAAACGAGCGCACAAAAGAAATCATTTGTTCATCAAAACAAACAAAAATTGAAACAAAAATAATAGCATTTGCCTCTTTTCGGGTAACTGAAAAAGTTCCAAAAACCCTCACTTTCGAAACTGAACTAAGTGCAAATGCTTTTGTGAAAAAACAAGTTTTATTTGTACGACAATAAAATCAAAATTTATAGTAAAGTTTTTTTTTCACTTGAAAATGAGGCTAGGGGTAACCTCGGAAGCGGCCTATTGTATACGCATTCAGATGGGATTTTTGGTCTAGATCAAAACTGCCCACCTACCCCTCCCCTAAGCCAACATTTTGCCCAAAATGAGAAGTAAGTGTTAATGTTAGCTTAGGGAAGGGGTAGGTGGGCAGTTTCCCAGAAACCTGAATTGATTGTTTGGTCTTATAGAACATTTATCAAAGCTATGAAATCTGAGGGTTTATAGGGTCGCCCTCCCAGCTCAATCACCTTACGTCAGCGTTTACATGAGACTTGAAAATTTTGACCCTTTTGCCCGAGCTAACAGCGTTCGCGCATGCTCTGTTTAACTCGCTTTGACCGAGTTGACCCGGCTGGGCAAGCCAAATGTTTATAAGGAGAAAGGTTGGCCCGGCTAGGAAGGTGATCCTACCATCACAAAAGGGTGACCCCGCTAGGCAGGTAACCCTTCTAGTCGAGCCAACGTTTTGTTTCTCATGCAAACGGATGAAAAGATGGCTCCACCAGGGTAGCTTGTGTAGGGGATCGAGTGATCCTTCTACCCAGAGCCCAGTTGTTCGAAGGCCGATTAACACTTAACCCGGGGCTAAATTTAACCCGGGCTTCTCCTTCTTGTGTTCAAAAGCATTTTCTCGGATAATTTTCTCTGTTATATTTAGAGCTTTCAATCTTCAACTTGTAGACAAAAAGAATTAAAAAGGAAATGCTTTTTAAGCTTTCAAATCTGAATTCAAATCTCGCACTAACCCTGGGTTATCTTAACCCGGCTTTGAACAACTCGGCCCAGAACATTTTTGCCGAAAAGAAATCACATAACACGGGAATACATTTCTTACCAGTTGTTGTCCTACACATGTATTTCTTGGGATCTTTACGTTCTTTTTTGAAAGTTGCAATAATGTCGTCATCATAATCTTCAATTATACTCTCACACTAAAGAAAAATGTGCTTTTTTAGTAACAAGCAATAAGAGAAAGTAACACAACTATTACACCAAGTAATTATGTAGTGGTGGCTCGTGGTAGATTAGGTTCGTTAGGCCTCTTGGGATCGTTATACGTTTCTGGGAAACTGCCCACCTACCCCTCCCCTGACCATCATTTTGCCCTAAGTGAGAAGTAAGTGTTAATGTTGGCCTAGGGGAGGGGTAGGTGGGCAGTTTCCCAGGAAAGTTGGTGGGCATCAGGAAGATCCATCTCCTTTAGAGTGATTTCACCTGACCCTTGAAAACAGATACTAACAACTAATGTCAAACAACAACTAAAAAAGAAGTCAACAAGATTAGTGCAACTTAATACGCATACAAAAGTTACTTACTGCATGTTTGAGCTTTTTTGCTATATCTCCACTAATAGCCACATTACTTAAAGTTACAGCCTCCCCATTGCGAGATGATGTTCTGATGTAAGACTTCTTGCCAGTGGCAGGGTCAGATGACTCTGCATAATTGTTCATTTTTTCGCACATACTATCCAGTTGTTCTATGAGGTGGGTCTCTGATCTGGCATACTGAATCTGAAACAGAGCAAAACGCTGTCAGTTCTTAATTAAGCCAGATAACATCAGCTTTGAATAGCCGGAGACTAACAGACCCGATCAAGTTTAAAAATAAAATAGAACTACCATTACTTGCGAGTGCCATGGCACTGAGAAAATTTGATCGATGAGAAGGGTTATATTACATCGAAGGGTTTTTGTATACAATGGTTTAAGAGTGACGTGCGCTTAAAGCACAAGCGTTCATTTAAGTCGAATGAATGCTAACTCTGGGCAAGCTTTCCCAAGAGAGATCGGCTACCGAATAAAACAGCAGGATTTCAAGTTTTGCAGTTTATCACAGGTTTTTCGGTTAATAGTTAATCCCTTTTTTTAAATTTTATTTTGCTTAAAAAACAAAAAAAATTACAAAAAAAATTACAAATAACTAACTATTAAAACTTTTTCTATTTTCACAGTGGGCAGAAAATAAAAAAAAATACATTAATAAAGGAAAGAAAAGAAAAAAGAAAGAAACTAAATTAAAAGGAAAAAGACGCTAACCTACTGGGTGAGTGAAACAGTACAGCAGTACAATGTAGCTTAAAAGAATATGTATTACATGTATGGAAACGACAGTAGCATTCACATATCTAAAGAAGTACTGTATTTAGTCTTTACAACCTACTCTCACACAGTGCCTAAACAAATCTTGCACTGCAAAGCGTTTTGCGAAAAAGACCAGTAGTTAAATGCTTATTACTTTAAAATGTTTTACAATTACAAAAATTAAGGGCGCATCAAGTCCATGGTCGAGCTATTTCCCCTCCGACAGGGATTTGAGGTAATCGTCAAACGAAGACAATCACTTATACGTTTTCATGATACAAACTTTTTCCTCTTTTAAATGCGCCAAGCAAATCAATGACAGTTGCTTATATTTTCTTAAAACATAAAATTATCCGACTTAAATCTCGAAGTTCATGGGTGTCTGAGAATTTACAAAGGAGCCATAGTTTGGACAGGTGAGACAGGTGACCTATAGCTTTCAAGGAAGAATCTTTGAATGATAGATATTTTTCGAACGCACTGAAACTCAGCCCTGTTCTTAACCAAAATTCGTCAAGTAATCAAGACTGCCTGAGGAAATAACCTCCTTTCGGGGACATTTTCACTAAAAGTGTATATCCGAAATATGCAAAACCAAACTTATGTAACAAGTGATGTAGTGACATGGTTAAAAATGTACAACTCAAAGAACACCGGCCAGCTTTTAATAAGCGGGTCCAAAATAAAATGACCAGACCGTGAATAGATTCTAGCAAGTGGCCATACTGAGAGAAAATGCTTTGTATGGGTACTGCTAGCCTGCGTGGCCGTCGTTGATAGGGGAAGGGGAAGGGGAAGGGGGAATTTGGGCGCGCGAGAGAGCCTGTGGTTCCCTTCCCTTTCTCTTTCGAACGCCTGCCACGCAGGCTAGGGTACTGCTGACAAATTCGAAGTTGCAACGTTCCCTATTGATGAAACGACGATCCTAGAGATTAGAGTGATGATCGCATTGACATTCTGATCAAGGTTGACAGACAAGGTTAGACGTGCGATGACAGAAAAGAAACCTACCTAAAAGAGCTCGCTGGTAGCGCTACACCACAAAGCAATTTTTCATGTGCAAGCGATAATGTGTTGAAAAACCGGAGATTGGATGAAAAACCGCTCTACTAGAGCGAAGACCACAGGAACCCATAGAAAAGCCTGTTCCCAACCCTCTATTTTATCTTTAGAGATCGTCGTGCGCGTGTATGAAAATAAAAACCGCGGGACGTGGGGAGAAAGGAAAAAAAACGTATGTGGACAGCACAGGCTGACCATAGAGAGGTTCAGAGAACCCTTAAAACCTTCACTCCTAATTAGTGTAGCCCATGTAAAACAGTCACAGAAAAATTAAATTTCTTGGTGTAAAATCATAAGAAATGAATAGTACCGTGCAAAAGTTTTACAAATAAGATTTCATTTAAATGGTAACATCACAGGATTTCATCAAATTACGTTGTCATAACTGTGTCAAGGAGTGACCACAGACCACCTTTTTATTAGGGAGCTTAAGATCCAAGGACGCGATGGTAACGAAAACGTAGCTTAAAAAGTGAATTTGCGTTCTTTCAGTCTTTATCGCGATTATTTCTTTCCACTTACTTTGTCGAATGTAGGCGAACTCTGTTGGAGTTGAATCCCTAGAGACACTAGATATCCAAGTTCAGAAAGAGAAATAAAATTTCGTCGTCGCTTGCTTACGTTCTTTATAAAAACGTAAAATTAGGCAATTTTACGTCGTATTTGTACAAAAAGGGCAAATAAATGTACAAAAAAGTGCGACGCACGTGCAAAGTTTTTGCTTTGCCTACGAAACCTATTGTCTTTTTTTACGCTTTCGATGTCGTCGCGTCGTCCGATCGTAAAATCCCTAGCCCAGTTTTCAACGTGGCAGCTTCCTACACCAAAAAACTGAAATTAGCAACAAACTGTAATGAGTAATCGTGTTTCTACTTTGATCTGCCTGGTTAAGCTTTGACATTTGCTTTAAGATAGTTCAAGCAATTTTGGTATCCCACTTGAAAGTCCTTTATCTTGTTGTATCAATTATTTATACCCCAACTTCTAAACCCTTCGGAAGTTTCAATAAAAATTTAAATGAAAATAGAAATAAACTTACATAAAATAGTAGTCATTTCAAAATATCGGAATGCAAAGAACACTAATTAAATTTCAGTATCAGTCCGGCGCATGGACGTTGCTTTTCTTCGTATGTTACAAGACAAAGCTTTTAGGGCGGTTAACTTTACAAAATGTTGCAATTGTTTGTCACCAAGTTAATTTAACACATACTGGTAAATCTGTGTTGTTGTACTTTCAAAACAGATTCTATCATAAGAGAGTCCAAGAAGTTTGAGAAAAAGGATCTAGAAATTAAAGTAAAAGACCAAACTATTTGATAACAATAGCATCTTTATTTCTCTGATAGTTTCTTGGTGTTTCAGGCGGATGTGATCACCAAATAACTTAATGAAAAAGATTGAAAAGAAACTGAACAATAGTAACACCACAAAACAGAAATCAGCCTACCAACAATGATTGGACACTCCCATTTGTTCTTAACTTTTTACGCTTCGAAAAAGAAGACTAAAAAGAAAACGTAAACCAACAGATACCCGCTTTCATACAGTGACGAAATTTTTCCATGATGAGTAAATAAATGACACATTGCATCACGATAAGAGCATTTACTCAGGTAGATACATCATCATCATTGCACTTGATTGGAAACAAGACTGGACTGGAAAAATCAAACAGATCCAGAAGCAAAATGCGGTTACCAGTCACCGAAGTATTCGCTATAATTTTAGCTGTGGTAACGATTTTCCATCCTGTCGATGGTAAGGACCCATGGTTATATGACACAGGTAATTTGTTGAGCAGTGTAATAGAAATCACTTCTGATTACTCAGAACTTCGATGGAGAATGGATAGTAGAGATGATGGGTGTCCTCGTGAAATGGGAAAGTGGCACTGCTATATGCTACTATTCACCAAGATGATTCCAGTGCTTGAGCAGTTTCTAATCAGAAGTAAACTGCACGAAGAAGCGCCCAATAGATATGCAATGTACATTTATTATAACCTTCACAGTATGAAATATGACAATTTACCAGACCTAATAAAACAAAAATTCCTGGATAGCCCAAGTCTTAAAAGAAAATACAACTCTGATTTTGTACGCCTGGTTGGAAACCTCATAGATGATGTTTATCCGGTTACCCAGAAAGATCCGTCGCTTCAAAAAAGCGGGTATGTTTTTCCCTTAAAAAGAGAGTGCGCTAAACTACCAACCCGAAATGTCCCAGCATTATTAGTCAAGAACGTTTGCCCGACCCTTTCGAACTGCGCCATTTCCTTTTATTCAAGTTCCACCAATGCGTGCGGAGAAAACAACGAATGCGACGTAGAGAAGGCCATTCCTCTGATGATCGGAGTGATTTGGTATAAAATAATCTTTGCAATCGTGGACAAATTTTGTCCCGACAGATGCTCTGGAGAGAATGGATGTGACATGCAGGAAACGCTAGACAGCATTGCTAAACAGGTGGATATGGTAAAAAACTTCCTGAGTATGCTCCCATTGAAACAATTTGATCACTTTTACAAAGACGCCCTTACAAGAAGAGCTTACTCTCAAATAGGAGAAGCCATGAAGATTATCAGCGAAAACGAAGAGAATTTTTCCAGGGCCGGTTATGCTTGTCGAGAAATAAAAGCTCCAGCGGGTTGTGAAGTTATGGAGTTTTATTCAAGTTACCTTTTACTAAAGAAACTTAAGAATGAACGACTTCAAAAAGGAAATACCAGGGATCTTACTTTGCATGAGAATGTGGACCACGCCAAAATAATTCAGCTGAAACACGAAGCTATTAAACATACCCAGGTGTTGAGCGCCATTGATCAGCTAAACAAAAACATGGAAGCACATGTCAAAGGTATTTCTTCTTACTTCCAAGGCATCGCGAAGTTTGATCAAGGCATAGCAAACGCTGACGTGGCGTTTATAGGAGGCAAACTTGACGAATTTAATAATAGATACACTGCGCTGCAAAACAAGGTAAAAGACGACGTTAAAGCGGCAATGATTGCGATGACAAGCCTTTTGTCGATTCAGTTGGTCGAGGAGACGGTAGCTCTCGTTACGAAGATATTGGAGGAGTCAAATCCCATTTCAGTGATATTCACCGGCGTTGATACAAAGGGAATACGAGACCAGGCCAAGGTCGTTGCAGATACAGCAGCAAAATTAGCACACGGAATTACACTCGTTGTAAAATTGGGTGAGCTCGCTACCGATACAGAAAAGATTGGAACTGACCTGCAAGACAACCGAAAGCAACTGGCATCATTGAAGACAATGGTTAACAAGATAAAGAGTAACTCGGGAGACACCATTGGTGATGATGCAGAGGAGTTTATCGAAAACTACTCTAATTACCAGCCAAAAGTAGACAGGCAACGGATGAGGGGTAACATAGCTTTGTGGGGAGCTTTCAAAGATTCAACCTGCGATCTGTTACAAGGGGTACAAGGAATCGCAGGGTCCACAGGAAAGGCTGTTGCTAATGGGTTTCTATTGTGTGAAAAGTTGGAGGGGACAATTGCCGAGTTTGACGCCCTGAGGGAGAATATTTTTGAATTTCAATTTGAGTTAGTGGACAGCCTATCCAGAGTCGTACGTGGTAATGTAGCGAAGAAGTTAGCTGCTTCCATTGGACGGCAAACGAACGATATGTTTAAGGCCCATCAACTTTTAGGCGGATTTTTGATGACACAGCTTTTTATTCAGTCTCAAGCCTTTTTATACTGCGACAAACTCGAGTATAGAAACGAAGGACAAACGGTTGGGCCTTGTTCGCCAGAAAGTGGGCTCTTCACCAATAGTGACTTGGACAATCTTGTGGCGTTTACAGATCATCGACACTACATCTCGATCGAACGGACAGTTCATATTCCATCAAGGCCTCAATACAGCGGGGATCTGGGTTTCATTAACGTTTACACGTTAGCAACAAATAAGACTGTCTCGTTCAGACTACCTCAAAATCTGACCTGGCTGTATCAGTTTGACTGGAGTTTGATTGGCGAGTCGCACGCTGCATATGTGGAGAACTTCCAGCTGTTTTTGCCAAACAAAGAATACAAGACGGGTTCCGAGAAAGTGAAGACATCAACCCGTATAGTACTCACAGCCGAAACTGAGACGGGGAGCTTCATCTCTGCAAACACAAATAACTCGGTGCTGTACAAGTTACCAGAGCGACAAACATCGTATGTTACAGTATACCAAGAAGGTTATCGAAGTTCAACTTGCTCCAACGAAATTCCTAATCCGTACAGTCTCTGCAACAATCTTCCCAAGATTTGTCACACAACCTCCAACGTCGCTGGTGATAGCCTTCTTCCTACAACATTGTCGAGATGGAGGGTCACGTTAAATGTCCAGTCTGGAGGGCAGAAAGTTGAATGGAAAGCGCCCAACTCTACGACAGACCTTTACCTCATTGCCAAGGTAACGCTTCGGATGCTTCCTCGCAAGTCTCTGGCAGGTTCAAGATCGTCCGTCCCAACATCACCGCCCGATGATGTTTGTTGCCAAGGCAACACCTATCGCGCGTCACTCGTTAGCAGTAAGTGTGAAAACTGCCCAGATGAATCCACTTCAAGGCTTGGGGGATACTATTGCGAAGGAAACCCATCCACACCTGGCGGGAAAAAGCACCGTGTTTTTCAGCGAAAAGATTCACCTAAGCGTGGGCTTTTCACCAAAAGAGGGGTTCTCCCCAAGAAAGGAACCGAAGCATAATCCGCGTACAAGAAATTCTCATCATTAAATAACACCCGACAAGAATGTCTTGCAAAGACCACAAGTGTTTCAGCAAGAGAAAGCCATCTTGTCCTTATATTTACCAAGCTGTAAAGCCACTGTGGCGAAAAATAAAACGTAGAGAAATGATTGGAAATAAATGATAACATTGATCTATTTTGCCAGGTATCGCCTTATTTTGACTGATTTTGCCACTGTGCGGACCGCGAAAGGTCAACCTCTCTTATGTAAAAGGAGAACCATTTTTCAATGGAAGTTATACGAAAGGGGTACCTTTTTCTGTCTAAAATTGAATATAAAAGGGTAAGGGGTTGGATATTGGGACGGAGCCCCCCCAACCCACCCCCCACCTCCCGTATTAAACTCTGTTGACTAGCCCACAGGGGAGGTTTCGCCATGCCAGCTGGGATTTTTTACATGTTATGTTCACCAGAAATTTGAATTGTTTTTTGTATTGTTGTGCTTCATTATCACTGAAAAGCCCCTCATGAGGAGAAGATAATTCAGTAATATTATTTTATTACTTATACATCTTCCCTACCTTATCCGTTTACTAACATTGAACACGTTGACGTTGTCTCGAACAACACAAGATGAAATGACCGTCACGCCACGAGCTTCCCTGCTAGCAGAGTCTACATTTCATCATTATTGGTGAGAAAACTGGACTTTGTTAGCAATGCTTTTCTGTCTATTATCGCTGTACACGATCATAGACGAAACTAAGTCTATAACCATTATTTTTTGACGCACGCAGGTTGTCTAGACATGACGTGACTTTTCCAGCGATCGCCAGACACACGCAAAACTTGGCCAAAGTTACAATTCAAGGAACGCGAGAGAAGAACAGAACTTTAAAAGACATATATTCCAAAATTTCAACTGGATTTTTGCGAACACTTCAACCACAGAAGACGGAAATAACATTCTAATAAATCATTTTCTGAATCATGTATCCACGCGTCAACGAGTCATCGCAGATTATCACGTGAAACGAAACTTACAAGCATGTGAAATTAATTTGTCGGCTCTGTTTGTAGGAGGACACGCGCTTGGGACAAAAGTAAAGTCTCCAACAGGAGAGGACAGAACGTATTACATCCCAGTCACCGGGCGAGCGTTTTACCCTTTGAACACTCCTAAACAACTGAGCAGTATGTCGGTGATAACTGTTTATTCGGACGCGTATTATTTTCTTGTCTTCCCCTTATTCTTGAATTGAAAAACGTCCTTTCCCAAGCAAAGCCTCGGAGAGGGAAGCAACAAGTCTACTCGCGCAAGTATCTTGTGTTTTCCGAAAGTACTCAACTAATTCCAAGTGTGATTGACGGATGTATGTCACATGAGACTGACGCCGTAGTGCTTACTGCAGGCTGGGGTCAGTAATGTGAATAAGGTACTTGAGGATGATAAATATAGTAAGATGGCAAATTTCAGTGCTTCATAGTGACCTTAATAGACGCTAAAAGGTTGTGAATATGACCACTGGGAGATCACGAGCTTGTTTCACAAGAGTTAAAATAACGATGATGGTGACTGAGTAATGATGATAGCACAGGGTGATTTATGCAACCTGTATCACAACCTGAGTATCACGCGTTTCTGGGTGGAGGGGTGGAGGGAAGAAAGAAGTGAAAAAAGGAGACAACGAAGACCGCTTCATCTCTTTATCTCTCTTCTTCCATAACTCGTAAGGAAGACCTGATACTTACGTTACCTATTCGACATCATTTACACCAAACCAAACCAAACTCTCCAAATCTCTTAGCTTTCTTTTACTGGTGCAAGAATCCCTCTTTAGGGGTTTGGCAAGAGTAGTGAGAATTACTTTTTTTCCTTTTTTTTCTTTTTTTGCGTTTTTTTCAGTTTTTCTCATCCCTCCTGTCACATCTGCTTCCTTTTGTTTCATTCTACTAGCTTGGAGAGATTTCTCAGTGTTGCAGTGTTATTAAAACATCTTTGAGCGTAAAAACTTATGAAACCTTCATTTCTGTGCAAAACGTCTTCGCGCAAACGCTAAAGAACGTGAAAATATTTTTGAAACAGAAAAAGCGAGTACTGAGACGAGATCTCAGTTGGAATCTACGACGTCACGTAACTATTTAGCCTAAATCTCGCTTACGATTATTGAAATTGCTCTCGGCACTTGAGCGAGCTTAGAAGACATCTCCGATGACGTCACGGACACAAGTGGTACAAGAAACCTAGGCACTAATTAGATATTTTACATTTGCAGAGCAAAATTGTTATTCATTTTACTTTGTGCAATATCACTCATATTTAGTTGAAATTGTGAGTACGTTTCAGTGAATTATCGAAGCAATAACTCCACAACGCATTTTCTATTTGTTCTACATTAAGTTTCAAAGTTTCTTTTATTCTCCTCTATAATTAAATTCTTTCCGTTAAAGGAATGCTCGCCTTAAAAAATTTCATTCATTCTGCAGGAAATTCTCCCGGTAGAATTTATCATAGCCTAGTCAAGATTGCACATGGGCAGTTCAGTGTGAATAATTTAAGGTTACCTTACCTTCCGAGTTTTTTTATTTCCCTTGGGGTCCACTCTAAAACTCTCAATCTTAAAAGTGTTAAAAGATGAATCTGTTATTTAACGTTCATATCTACAGCCCAATGCATATTAACCCTTTAAGCCCCAGTATCCACATACAAATTCTCCAAACTGATCTCCATACATTTCCTTAAAGAATGAGTTGAGTGAATTTGATAAAAGATCATGGAATTTTCTCTATGATGATCATTTAATTAATTCTCACAACTTTATCTCTTGACAATGTATGGATATTGTTAGGAGAAAATTGTTCTTCGTCACTATTGGGACTTAAAGGGTTAAGCTCCAATATCCAAACACAAATTCTCCACTAGACTTATCTCCATACGTTTCCTTGAAGAATTTACTGTGATACAGTAGTTGTGAGAATTTCATTAATTAACGATCAAAACATTTTCCCCTTGCTGATAATTTCAATAATAATTCTTAACATTTTTTTCTGGATAATTTGTATTGATACTGGTATTGATGTTGGGCACTCTCCAGACTTAAACACTTAAAGGGCTAAAGGGGTTGTGCTACAAAATAAAAAATTTAGCCAAATTGTGGCAAACATTAAGCCAAACAGTGGCAGCTGCATGGTCACTTAACTGAGTCAATCACTGATGACTGTCTAATTAAAACACAGCAAGCACAAAAGAGATAAAGAGGGTCAAAATAATGAACACTGGGGTTTTTGAAAACTGTTCAATGCCTAATGGTTTTTCAAAGTCTTCTCTGTTGTTTGTAACTTTCAAAATATGTGCTTGGGAAACCTATTTTTTTTGTCGCAGAGCAGTAATTTTGTCATTTACAAGCAATTTCTCCCCTTATATTAAGCCAATTTCTTGCCTTTACTTGTTTAGGAAAAGATGTTAAAACAAAATACATCTTTGAAAAAGCAGACTTGGAAAGGACTAAAGTTATTATTTTTACGTTATTTTATTTTTCTATCAATACCAGAGTTTTTATTACCTCTAACATTTTCCTTGGATCAACTTGGCTAATTTCCCACTGAAGTTCATCAGCAATAACATGACAAACTGTAAATTGAATAACGTTGATAAGTGACAGTGAATAGGTGGTTTTAAAATCATCAGGAATTTACTGTCAAACTAGTAAAACCATGAAAACTGAAATATTCTAGGAAAGCAATGCTTATTGTGTTACGACCAGTCACAGCCTGCATTGATCAAAGATCAGGATGTGTAAGCAAGCCACAAAACTACAAACTAATTACTCTTGCTGCTTGCAGATTTTGCAACACAATATCATTCCCAAAATATTTCTGGTGTTCACAGTTTTGTGAGTTTCAGAGTAACACTTGTCTTTACATATTATGGGAAATTACTGATTAATTAATTACTTCTTCATCTCTTCCTCATAACAATGTGTGGCTTAGGTACATGGTGGCATGATCCTTATTTGAAATTGCCTTGCAGTTGTGTTTGGAATGAAAGATGAATTATTTACATAAGATACTGAGCGACTTAAGGGGCTTTTTAAGATATGTGTTCACTTACTGCCATTATCTTCTATTGTTGTGTGAGAAGTTAACAGCTATGGACAACTGAAACTCAAATCTCTTACAGGCAATTAACAGTTATTGGACAAGGTTGAGCAAAATATCATGATTTGTCAGTGGCGAGTAGATGAATTATTTGCCAAAACCGAAGGCTGAGGCAAATAATAATCTGTGAGCCACTGACAAATCATGATATTTTGCGATAACCAAGTTTGTTTTTTAAGGAATATCTTCAGGAAGTGAATTAGTGATCTGCCATTTTCCTGAGCAAGATGAAGAAAAGTGTGGTTTCATTTACGCATAAACAGAATATTATTTGCAGCGAAACAAAGTTGGATGACATTGAGCATGAGCAGACCGTTATTTGTAGGCAGTCATTTGCAGGTCACATGGTGGGCTCTCAGCCAATGAAAAGGAAGAAAAATTTGCAACGAATGATAATTGTATTAGATGGACACCTGGGGTGCTTACCACTTACACAAACAAAACTTTGTGCATAAAAATATAACTATAAAAATTGATGTGCAGGGAGTACAAACCACTACATAGTATAAACAAATTTGCTGAACAGACTAAAATGACTAAAAAAAGCATCCCCTCAAATCACAGCCCATATTTTCTGAACCTTCCCAAACAAGATGGTGTGAACCATTTGATTTTCCAACCAGAATTTTCCCGGGCCGATTTGTTCAAAGCTGGGTTAAGATAACCCAGGGTTAGTGCGAGATTTGAAGTAAGATTTGAGAGCTTAAAAAGCATTTCAGTTTTAATTCTTTTTGTCTACAAGTTGATGATTGGAAGCCCTAAAAATAACAGAGGAAATTATCCGAGAAAATGCTTTTGAACACAAGAAAAAGAAACCTGAGTTAAATTTAACCCCGGGTTAAGCGCTAATCGGCTTTCGAACACCTGGGCCCAGTTTTTCCATGTAAATGGTAAGTACCCCTGGTTTAGGTCCTTTCCCTGCGATTTTTGAGCAATTTTACCAAACTCCATTTGCTTTGGACACTTCTTCACAAAAAGTTTGGCCAAGTACTGACAGTGTTGATCTTTGAGGGAGTTAGCTGCCCGGGGGACTCCCATATGAAACAGACGGGGATGCTCGTCGTCTCGCTTAGGGGTGTAAATTTTGGATTTTGGTCTCGCTTAGGATGTTCCGGGCAAAGCACCAATATTTTAAGCTGCCAAGGTCTCGTTTAGGGTTCCGAGAAGAAACACAGAATTACGCGAAGAGAAACAGAAGTCAATGTTCTTTTTAACTTTGTTTGTTATGTCTTTATATCATTAAAACTCATTGCATGTCGTATTTGTGTGTTTTTAAGCGGTCTCTTTTAGGGGTCAAAATTTGCTTAAGCCACGACCAGATTGGTCTCCTTTAGGAGTCACAAAAAGCTTGAGCCACGCCCAGATGGTCTCCTTTAGGGGTTAAATTCAAAATTTCCGACGAGCATCCCCGTCTGTTTCATATGGGAGCCCCCCCCCCCGGGGTTAGCTGTAATCTGAAATTCATGATGGTTGGCATGTAAAACTTACCGCCGCAATAAAGCTCTTTATCCTTGGCACCCAACGTTGAACTCACAAAAAAAGCAACAGCAAGCAAAACATGGTAGAGTTCTCTTAAAAGGTCCATACCCTGGAAAAGTGGTGTAGACAGCAAATTAATATTTTTAAGTGATTAAAGGAAAAGCCCAATATTATCAAAAAACAGTTGAAAAGCCCATAGGCAAATATTAATCAATTTTTTTTAAGGATATAAGTTATCTTCTATGAGGACCCTTGCTGTAGAGGCCTCACAAGAGAAAAGAAGAATTTCGAGGTATAAGGTCACAGCAGCAGATCCAGAACTAAAAGTCAGCAGTGTTTTATTGCTTCAACTTCAAGTTTTGTGTGAAGAAATGTGCGTCTGACTACTTTTTGAGGCTATGGTGAAAAGAAAACCTATGGATAATAAAATATAGGATCTTTGAGTCTTTCTGACAACTCTGTCTTCGATCTAATGCTTTCTTTGTTTACATTAATAGAAAGTTCACTTGTCTAAAACGTTTAAGTGTGCCGGCCATGCACGCAGGATAATTATGCAAAATTGTATTAAATAATCAATATATAATCCAGGTCAATGAAGTGTGATCATGGTGATAGTAAGTGAAGAAACTAATTAAACTACGGTAGCTCAAGAGTTTAAATTGAATAAACAATTAAAACATACCTCCACAAAGAATTTGTAAACAGACAGTAGAAAAGGTGAGAGTTTTTTAAGATGGCTGGATTTTAAAAATTTCACTATTGAAAAAGATCGATATGCTGATAGGTAGAAGCCGCTGACCAGCAGCTTGCGCCTTAGAAATATTGCATTGCATTCTGGGAAATTATCATCAGCCGGCCATTTCCAGTGTTACAGCTTAGATCGCTGGATAAAGTTCCGAGGCAAAATGTAGGGAAAATATTACGTCTTTTCTTGGAAGGAAACAAAAATATCCCGGTTAGACAATAAGCATGGCGCCACCAAAGTCAAGGAAAATTGTCATAATGGGCTTTCGTTCTGTTGGTTAGAATGATGTTTGGAATACAACCCCTTGTTTGCGCTGAATCATGGAGTGAAAAGCGCGTATTCTTGTAATTTTTACGCGGACTTTTTTCATTTTCAGGGAAGTCGTCAATTACCATCCAGTTCGTGGAAGGACAGTTTGTCGATTCTTATGATCCAACGATTGAAAACAGTAAGTGCTCATTTCAATTTTCCTTCATTCGGGTCGTGTGATTGCCCTTTTAGGGGAATTTTCTAGAAAGAAACCCCTGCAGTGATCTGAGTTTCTATTTTTGTCAGTACGAAATTTAAGATTACTTCTTTTCGTTATATTAAGCATTCACCACGAAGCTAAAGCACAATAGTCAAGAATATGTCTTGGAGCTGGTAGACACGGCGGGACAGGTAAACATAATTTTGACGGATTTTTTGTGGCTTCTTAATAAAGATTGAGCGGATTGAAAATTGTAAGTGTGTTTGTACAGTCCTTCCAGCTAATTAAGCTTTGAAAATAACTAAGTCACTTGTCCGTTCCTGCTGTCTGATTGTATTTTGAAACTGTTATTGTCAAGGTGAATCAGCAAAATGTTATTTTTTAAATTTTCATACACATTGTGCTGTTGAGTTTTTTCAATGGTGATGGTTTCAATTTTGTGTCAATAAGTTGGCCTTGACCCTGAGATTTCTTCAAGAATAAGAATCTTAAGCTTGCTCTCTGCAATGATTTATTTATAGTACATTAACAGTTGTCAATGTTCAGCTCTTGTTATTAGCGCCTTCCCTATATTTAAATATTGGGTACAAGGTTCATGATAAAAAAATATATATTTCATTTTTGTCATAACTTTCCCTGACTTTGTACTTTGTACATAATTCTTGCCACACACTTTTAGTCTCTGAGAAGGCAGAGATCCCAATTCATTAATCGGTGGATTTTGTAGTCTGGGGTTGGAACGAAATTAATGTATAATAAAATTAAGTACAGAGGAATGGATACTTTAATTATTATTACTTTTTTTAAAATACTAAAAGAATGGAATAATTGATTAGTAGGGTGAAGGTTGTATTATTGTTTCAAGATTTTAATCTAAGACAGACAAACTGTTGTTTAACTTAAACTTTTTTGATTTACAGTAATATATTCTTTGATGGTCATTACCACAAAGGCATTTGTTTCTGCATTAAATCAAAGTGGAAGAAAACTTCACCCAAAAGAAACCATACATTATGGAGTTTAAGCACCTATGATGGCAGTGGTAGCAAAAACATCACTTGAAAAATTAGTTCATGCAACTTTAAACTTCATCTTTATTGCTTCACCTGATCCCTGAATTTGTTGAATGTCGGCAAATTTTCTAAAGGACTGTAGCTTAGTTTAGAAAGGGTAAAAGAAAATAATTTTTGTCTTGTAAGTTCCACATCTGCCATAAAACATGAAAATGGGAAGTTTCACATCATAGTTGTGAAAAAAAACTGTGAAGCAACAAGTTGTTGTGTTGCTGATTAAACCTATAGAGTTCTAAAGTGTGACATCATAAAAATGAAACTTCTGAAATTATGGGATTTGTCAGGATATTTTGAAAGAACAATGTCCAAGAGACCTACTTGCCAAAAATGAGCATTTGGGGGCAAATTGTCTCTGAGATCGCAGCCCAGTTATGCTTAGAAAACTCTATACAAACCGTTCTAAATTTTTTTCGGTCGACCCCCCAAGAAATTAGAAGGGTTTGTATGGAGTTTTCTGAGTATAACTGGGCTACGATCTCAGAGACAGTTTGCCCCATAATGCTCATTTTTGGCAAGTAGGCCTCTTGGACATTGTTCTTTCAGAATATCCTGACAAATCCCATAATTTCAGAAAATTCATTTTTATAGCGTCATCACTTTAGTACTCTATTGCTATTTTGATCTAAAAAGGTTTGAGTTGTCAGGAGATTGAGTAGTAAACTGGAAGATTGGAACTATTAATGGCTACAGTTAGGCCCATCCACACAAATCCAGATATTCTTGAAACTGCATATCTTAACTTTTTAAACAAATCAGCTTTTCGTCCACACAAAACTAGTGAATCTGCTCACCGAAATAGCATCTTTTTTAAACTGCTCCCCAGAGTGGTTTATAAACCCATCCACACAAATCCAGATGAACAAATATGTGGTTTCAAAAATGTCAGGATTTGTGAAGATGAGACCTTAGTGAAAAACTCTCTGAAATGTAAATTATTGTAATGTTTGATACCCTTTTTTTATCTTCAGGATGAATACTCAATCTTTCCTCAGTCATATTCAGTTGGAATACATGGTTATGTACTTGTGTATGCAGTGACATCTGCAAAAAGGTAGCATCAGCATTCATGAGCAGCTGTTAAGTCATGTATAGTGGTTATTTGAGTTGGAGGATCTTTGCCCAAATTGTTATTGCCATCAAGCATCATAATAGTAATTTAAATGAATCAAACTTAAATAGGCTGGCCTGTGTAGAATGACGTGTGGTTCTTCAGGATGGCCAGAGAGCCAAACCAGCACCAGCAAAGTGTTTCGCACACTGCTCATATGTACCCTCTTTGAACATGTAGCTGCAGACTGCATTGCTTCATTTACTAGCTGCAAAAGAGTCACCTCAGCCAACTGAGGCAGCCTGTTAAACTGGGCCAGCCTGGTGTATGTTATGATCCCCCAAACTACATAGATGATTTATATATTACCATAAATTAAATTCAGTTATTATTCAAGAGGGCTCAATAAATCATTTATTTCTTTTTTATATTATTTTTACGTTTTTATTTTTTTTTGTCTGTAGCTTTGAAGTTGTAAAAGTTATTCATGAAAAATTGCTGGACATGTCAGGCCAAAATTAGTAAGTATTTCCATATTATATTTTTTAAGGGAACATTTTTTGTAAAATGTACAGTATTTCCAAATCAACATTATTACCAGATGTTTTAGATCAAACACAAATACATTATTGTATTCACAAATTAATAATAATGCAACTTACAATATTATAATATGTACACATCTGTTCAGTGGAGTTTACATCATGTCATCTGCAAAAAATTGTTTGTTTTGCTTAGAAAATAACTCTTCTTTGCTATTCACGACGTTTCATTTAAGTAAAAAAGTAAATTTTTTAGTTGCTAACTAAGCTACTAGGCTTGCAGGGCAAGACTAGTGCAATACTTTTGGTAGCCATAATTTGACGAATATACCTAATTCAATGAAGGTTCAATGCTTTGGCAATTGGTCATCGGCAATTGGGCTTTAGGCAATTTGGGCATACAGAACAATGTAATGATTTTCTTGAATGACCACCAAACAATAGATTTCCAGTGCGCAATTTCCAGTGCCTAAAGCAACCTGTATTAAATCAGCAATATACAAGTAATGTGTAGAAAAACATTTTTTGTAAATTCAATTTACAGCTTTCCATGTAGAAGTCAAATGTCTTTATATTAATAACACTAGCTTGCCTGGAGTCTCTATAACACCACTTTTTTTCGTAGTGTGCCAATGGTTCTTGTAGGAAACAAAACAGATCTACACTTGGAGAGGTAAACACTTCAAAACCCAATGTTATTTTTCTTTTTGTTTTGGGAAGGGACAATTATTATTGTAGGAAGGGCTGTGGGCACCGAAATCACTGTGTATTTAGTTTGTTATCTGAAAATCTTGCTCAGGCGCGATCTGCCACCCCCCTTCCCCTCCCCCCCCCCCTCCCCATCCCCCCTTCTTGAGGCCCCCAACCCTTACCAATGATAGTAACCTTTAGCCTTGAATTCTGCCTCTCTCTCTGTCTTTTCGGGGAGGAGTGCGGGCTCATTTCCCGAACAGCCACTGGTAATGGAGCCTATAAAGTAACCTTGTGCTTTGTGATGGTATACAGTGTACATGCACTCAGGGTTATTCAGACTAAAAAAAGCTGAAATAATGATCTGGCAGTTAAAGTTTATTTGACCTTTATGACTCTGGTACTTCCATTTTAGGGTTGTTACTTACAAAACAGGAAAATCACTGGCTGACTCTTGGAAAGCAGCATTCTTTGAATCATCTGCCAAGGAAAATAGTGTAAGTGAACTTGGACACATCCTGTTTCTGTTACCCAAGAGTTGACATTTAGACAGCAATCACTTACTGACCACTCTCCATGCCATTATGTACAATTTTTTACCATTAGTTCAAGTTTTATTTGCCTTATTTCACTGTATGATAATCAATAAGAAATAAATGGAGATACAAAATAATGTAAGCATATTTCCCATTAATAATGAAGACTCAGCGTTACACTTGTCAACATTTCATGTAAATTGCTTGGCAAAATTCACTGAAAAAGTGGGTACGTGTCAATTGCCTGTGGATTTAGATACCTGTATGTTATGTGATGTACTTAACTTTGTGTTTCTTTTTTTCTTCTTTTTTTTTTATACAGAGTGTGCAAGAAATTTTCCAGACCCTTATAAAAGAAATAGAAAATCATGATCAAGATGGAAATGTAGACAAAAAGGAGGATTGTACAATATTATGACATGCATGCATGTTTTATGCCAGCAAGGAGATTGCCAAATCTATTTTGTGATACAGCTTTCTTCATTCCACTCTCTTTATTCGTTAGAGACACTTTTGTGCTACATAATCAGTTTAGACAGCCATATATGCTATTACCACAGAACCCGTTTTTGGTTCTCTTTAGATTCGACATCTGATCAATGAATTCTCTCAAACTTCTCAAAAGATGTTTTCCTAATATATGACCTATCAGAGTGTACAGGAATTCACTTCTGGCCCCCTTGAACTCCCATTGTTTCAAGAACATTTTTATATCTCTAGAGTTTCCCAGTAATGGGTGTACTGTACATTGTAATTTTTGATAATGGGCTTATGCAATCAAGATTAAAGTCAAGAAAAACGATTCCTTGGGGAGAACTGCAAGATCGCACAAGTCAAATTTATGGTCATAGCATACCCAGATCTCCCTCAGCATCAAAGACAAGAAGTGAGCTTTACATGAAACTCATGTAAAGCAATCCTCCTGAATTAAACTCTAGAGCAGTTCAACATAATGTAAAGGGAATTTTACAGCAAGAGCCTCCCTTGTAATAATTTTTTAATTTTTTAATGTGTGATAACACTAAAAAGGCTGCAAAGAAGACTAGCACTTCAACCTTTGATTAAGCGAAGATATTGTAAGAAGAAAGTAGTTGTTTGTTCTCTTTAGGGCTTAAAAATAATGGTCAGTGGTTAAGCAATGCAAGATTTTTCTCTGAAAAGAGTCTTTTTTAGTCCATCTGTCAGAAGTGGCATGCCACGTTTTGCTGTTTGTACTGTGGTTGTGAGTGTTGGTTGGAGGAACTAAAATTTGAGATTTTTATGTGCATTACCAAAACCAGAGAGGGTAACCCTAAACTCTACCCTGGTCCGAGAGGTTTCTCTTGAAATTTTTCTTTGTGAAAGAGTGAGAGCAATATAAAACCTCTGGAATCAGGGTAAACAGACTCCCACTTGGTTGAGAAATCTCCATAACCGCTCCCACCAGCCCATCTGTAGTGCACAAAATATTCACAGCCTTTCATGTGTACTTTAGTCAACCAAACAGGGCTTCCCCAAAAAGAACAAAAATTCCCCCACTAAGCCCTAATTAAAAATAGTTCACCCACGTAAACAAAGAACAAAAGCGGGCCCAAACAGGAACCCTCTCTACTGCTAATGACTAAGGGTGGGAAGACCTTTGGTCCTGTACATTCTCTACCCCAGTTTTTATGATTGAACCCTGGAATTGAGATTTGGACCCATGAGGACTTAAGGCTCTTGAGTCAGCAATGGATGGTAGACTGACCTAACATCAATTTTGTCAAAAAAATCAATGCACATTTAAGAGAGAAGGTTCTAAGAATTAAGAAAATGATCAAGAGAGAAAAAAGCCGCAATCTCTTATCAGATTCTCTCAACTTTTTCTTCAAGGAAAAGTGAGGGGATAATTCTGGAGTTACAGTTGATAAGAAGATATGTGGTGGGACATTTGCTGAGCCTCTAACTTTTCAGTTACTTTGGAGAGAAAATGTGAAGTCACTATCTGGGTATTAGCCTGAATTTCATCCAATTACTTTGAGTTGTTATTACTCCCTCCCTCCCTTACTCCCTGCCGAGAGGAGAAAATGACTTGAAGCAATCAGATGAAATTCAGGTTATCTGGATACTGGCCAGTCTATATCAAGAAGTTAACCCTTTTCAGCCCTAATATCAATGCTTTGTAAAAGAGCATGGTCATGAGACTTCTCCCCACTACTTCTGTAGGAAATCAATAGGAGCAACAAATGGGAATTTAAATTTTGATCTTAGGGTTAAGAGTGTTAAACATTCCAGAAAAAGTTTAATGGCATTAACTCGATGCATCTCTTGACACAACCAGTTCACCCCCAATTTAAGGTAAGCTGGATTCTGGAATCTGAGAAATTCCTGCTTGTTGAATCCAGAGTCCTGGGCTTTGGAATTTGTACCTAATCCAAGTTCAACTGACAAGGAATTTACAATCCAGTACTTAGAATCCAGAATTCACAGCATGAAATCCAAGATTGTCTTGGATTACCTAACCCTTTAAGCCCCAATATCAACATAAAAATTCTCTGCGCTGATCTCCAGACATTTCCTCAAAAAACTAGTTGAGAGAATTTAAGATCAAAGCATTTTTCACTCAAGTGATCATTTTATCAATTCTCGCAACCCAGTCTCTTGATTATGTATTGTTATTGTAAGGAGAAAATTGATGTTGGTCACTCGTGGGTCTAATGGGTTAAGGATAGGATCCTCTTCACAGGACTCATTAAAGTTAGATTAATTCATAGTTCTGTTTGGTTCCAGTAGTGTTGTTGAGGAACAAGAAAGGGATGTCGACACTTTGTTGAGGTTTCTGGACTGGAGATGGGAAGCAAGTAGAGCAGGGCTCGAAATTAAAAAATCGGCGACCAACTAGAGAAATAGAGTCGTAGCTGAGAAATCTGGTTGCCAGAGTGGCGACTAAACCAGAATTCTTAGTTGCCAAGGAGAAAATGTTAGTCACATTGGCGACCCTATCAGTCACAATTTCGAGCCCTGTAGAGGAAAAGGTGAAAGTGATCCTTGCAACCACAGGGACAATGCATGAAAATTCATTCATTGCTCATTCTCTCAACTATTGACAAGAAGCTCCTTTCTTACTCGGAAATAACTACTTATCAAACAGAATCCCATCCTCGGAGACCCAGGGGCAGATAGTGGGGGTGAGGGAAGTCTAAACAGGCGGAAAAATATGGCACAAAAGAAAAGTAAAGAACGGCCAAAAGAGCCCCTAGGGACAATGTCTTACCAGACCAGTTCCAAACGGTTGCCGCCGTTGTGGCTTCTGATTGGTGCCAGTCAGAAAACAGAACGGCGGCGACCGTTTGGAACTGGTCTGGTAAGGCATTGTCCCCAGGGGCTCTTCTGGCCGTTCTTCACTTTTCTTTTGTGCCATATTTTTCTGCCTGTTTAGACTTTCCCTCGCCCCACTATCTGCCCCTGGGTCTCCGAGGATGACAGAATCCCTAAAAGCAAGATTAAAAAAGAGTTAGAGGAAAAAGAACCACAACCTCTTCTAATTCAGTAATGGCTTGACTTTAAAATTATGTAGATACATTTTAAAAGATCTTATCTTTTCTTATTTCTGGACATCTATACTCTGGCAAATATGAACTGACTGTTTCACATACAAGTAGCTAAATGTAGTTAAGGTGATGTTCAATTCCAAAATGCTGGACAGCAGTTCATCCCCTGGCACACAGTCAGTACTTCATAATGATTATTATAGGTACCAAGATATATAAATACTTGACTGTTTCCTTCTTGCCTATGGTATTGCTTGAGTGTCTTGGTCTACTTCACTAGGCCTTCCTTTGTACAGCTGTAGCTTTTACCACATAAAAGGCACCTAATTTCAAGCTCATTTTTTGTTAATCCAAAATCACTTGAAAACAACTCTAGATTATATAGGGATAACTTTCATCAAAATGTCCCAAATGCTCAAAGCGACACCAAAAAACTGTAATTACAGCCCAGCACTGGTAAGTACCATTTACAGCTAAAGTTTTCCTGTATCTACTGGATCTTTAGTTTTCATGTTGTCCGTCTTTGTCTCCCTGTTTGTGTCCTTGCTTATCACAGAAGTAATTGCACTGAATTGCTTGGAACTAGATGATGTCATTCCTGATGGTAGGTGCTGAAATGGTTTGACAGGGGTAGGGCGGGGTGTGTCGCTTGTCATGTGACCCTTTGTAGTACTTGCCTTGGCTGGTTGAGGTGCTGAAGAACTGGCAGTTGACGGCTGTGATAAATACACCAAAGGTGGCACCTGTATTACTTGTTTTGGGGCATTGGGTGGGGCTGTCAAGGCACTTGGAGGAGTGTTCTTTGCTACCTCTTGTATGAAACTTTTTGTGGAACTCTGCATTGTATCCTTTGAAGTGTCCAGTGCTGAACCTTCTGAGGATTCCCCCAACCCTACTTTTATCATTGCAGAAGAGGTGACCTTCAAGGAGCTAGAGGCCGTTTTTGAAGGAACCTTTGCCAGGTCTGTGGATGACTCATGTAATGAAGCTGTACTTAAAGTGGGAGAGGTGACTTTTGAGGCACTGACTGTACCTTGTGAAGCACTCTTGGAGGAAATCTGAACAGTGTCCTCAGTGTCCTCAGATTTTGTGGTGGGTGAGATGACCTTTGAGGGAGTCATCAATATATCTTGTGATGCAACAGTCTGGGAAGTGTCTTGAGTAACATTCTGTGATGTAGAAGTTGAAAATGGTGTAATGTTTTCTTCAGTGCTGTCTTTGGCAACATTTGTCTCTGCTGTGGTCTGTTTAGTTTGATGTGCTTCAGAATCAGGGATGACTGCCTGGGTGTCTGCGGAAGAGTCTGTTTTTGCCAGTTCTTGAGGTTTTGATGACACTTCGTCCTGGCCAACTGCTGTTGACAAGCTGGTGCCTTTTAGGCTTCCTTCTGCTGCAGCTTCAGGCGGCTTGCGCTCTGCGTCCCTTTTTAAAGCATCAGAAGAAGCATCACTTTTACTTTGCTGCTTATCACCACTGTTGGTTGTCACTGTTTTGTTGTCTGACTCTGAAGACTGGTTCATGTCACTGACACTTGATAGTGGTGTCCCCTGCGATGGTAACTGAGGACTGCTACAAACTGCTACAAGGCTTGCAGCTGCAAAACCAGGAGAGATACTCTCTGAAGGATCTGATGCTGATTCCGTGCTTGACCTAGTTGAAGATGCTGCTGTAACAGCACCTTCAGTTGCAGATTTTCCGGGATCATCGCTGACATCAACATCCATTTTCTCTGATCCAGCACACAGACTGTCAGTGGCAATAGATGTTGAATCTTGCTGTGGTTCGGAGCTGATGGTTGTGGTTTCTTCTGTCTGGTCAGTGGTAGGTGGTGGCAAAAGAGCAATAGATTTCTGTTGCAAAGCTTCTGGCACATCAGGTTGATCTTTTAGTTCTAACGCTCTGGCTTTTCTTAATCTGCAAAGAAAGATTGCTTAGTGATTAGATTGGAAGGAAATCAAAGCCCAAACTGTTGCAGACGTTGGTTAAAATGAACAAAATGTGTTGACTTCTAGGTATATGGATATGACATAAAAAACTCAGTTTTGAAAATTTGATACAGCTTGTCACATGTCTAATCATCTCTGAAGATAATTCACAATCAAGGAATGCAGATTTTATGGTAATAAGCATGGTTAAACAACCGTGGTTTGTGTACCACTACTGAAACAACCAAAAATTAACAATGACAAACACCTGAACAGTAACAGGAAAACTTGCACTAACTCTAGATCTTTTTTCCAAATTAATATCCTTTACAGAAGTGATTTCCCTCAACTTACTTCGCTCTTTCCTCCGCATCTTGCAAGTCCTTCTTTACATCTGGTCTGTTCATGCTTGATGGCAGCTCCATGTGTAGTCTACATGAGGTGTGTTTGAAGATCTTAGCAACATTCCTGTCACACTGGCTTTCCCCTTTTGACTGGAATGTACACTGTTGAAACAGCAGCTGATTTGGATCATGACAGATGTCTGCAGACAGGTCAAGGAACCTGTTGACCTGAAACAACCCTTTGATTTCTAGGATAACTATATTGTATAGTCAAAGCCCCAAGAACCAGGAACACTTGTCCCCACATCCCATCTCCGAATTATTGACTGTTCATTGGGCCATTTCAAGAAATATTAAAGCTTTTCAAAAAGTGTTTGTATCACACTCTCTCAACACCCCTTCGGCCTATAAGAGCGCGTGTATGACACTAGTCAACCACAAACTTGCTTGATCAAAATTAATGTGTTGCTGATTCCTTTGACTTTGTTTGTCCCTATTTATTTGTTATTGTTCGTCTTTCTACTGTTACCAGCTGAACGTTGTCATTATTATTACTATTAGTACAGTGTATTTATAATTTGAAATATTTTTTTGTGGCCCTTGTAGGGGAGCTTGCTCTGTGAGTATTCCAGGCCCTTTGGTGAAGCTTGTAACTTGTAGCTTGTAACTATTTTGGTCCAGTTCAAACTTCAAACAATGACTTGCTCCCCTTTTTCACCACGGCCGTGGAAAATTTCCCACTTTGGTCAGTCTAGGATAAAAAGGATACGTTTAATACAGTGTTTTGTAAGGGGCAAGACCTTTTCAGTGCATCTGTTTCCCCCAGGAGAGTAGGTACAGCGCAAAGTTGAGACAGCCTGCTGCCGCGTGTTTGTTCCTTGTTTCTTTTCTTTTGCCTGCTTTCGCAGCAAAGTTTCAGTGCCAGGACGCTCATGTAGGGGCTTGTGACCTAGAAGTTGTGTGGGTGTCAGATTACACTCTCCTATGGACACAAATAATAAACAATATTATTGGATGAGGTTTTTGTAATACAGTGAAACCCTGCCTTACGGCTGCCTCGGAAATACGGTCCCCTCATTATTACGGCCACTTTTTTTTTTGGATGCCCAGCAAAACAAGCATACATTTTCCTGGCCCACTGGTGACCATACTGTATTTAATTATAATATTATCAGATGAGGCTGAGAATCATCTGAAGAATTATGGAGATCGAGGAGGGTGTTATAATCGCCACGGATAACACCCTCCAAGATCTCCATAATTCTTCAGATGATACGAAAGCCAACTTCAATAATTGTTTCATTATTCATTAAAAATAATTTCCTAGTTTAAAAGCAAGCTAAATCATGCTTACCTCCATCAATGCCTGTATATCGGCAAGTTTAGGAGATAAAGGGTTGTTCAGTACTGCAAATATTCTCCAAGCAGCAGATGTCATCCATCAAGTTGACAATCTTCTCACTCTTCCTGCTATGTTTTTAGCCAATAGTTTGCCTATTTCTTCCTTTTGAAACACGTGAAATGTTCCACCATTTTGTACTCAGTACCAAAGTAACTCAACCTAAAACCCGGTTTTCTCGGGTAACTCTTAAATAATCTGGCAATTTTGCTGCAAAACTGATGCCATTTTTCACATATCACAAAATTCTTCCAGATTTGGTCAACAGTAGCTGGTTCTCATGAATTATGCACGGATTTTAGCCAAATTTTAGCCAAACTTTAGCCAGAATTTTAGCCAGAAACTGAGAAATATTTGAATGAATAATAAAAGTAGTAATACCAGTAAATGTAGTTCATACCTGCTTCCTCCTCTTCTTCAGCATGAATTGCCTGACAGTATTTTCTTTTTCTCTCTTTTAACACATGTTGTAGTCTCTTGAACTGAGCTATGTACAAAGATCTTAGTCTGATCATCTTGTCACGGCACATTCTTGTTGCTTCCTCAACTGTCCAGACGCCTGCATGCCTAGGAGAAGGATGTTACGTCTTGCTAACTGGTTTGCAAAAGTTGATCTTGACATCATTTTTATAGCATAAACAATAATAAATAATAACGCTAAGCTGCGTTTTAATGATTGACCAGGGATGAGCTACATGTAACACACAAAAGCATATAATCTCCTATTGGCCATCTGTGCAACCATTTCAAAAAATGTCAGTTATCCATCTTCATAGTTATGACAAGATGTATTATTTTAGGCATCTTTTAAAACAAACTACGGAACACAAGTGAACAAAACACAAAATACATCATTAAAAGTGGCCATCTTTACACTGGTAAACTACATGCCCAAAATTCATTATCAAACTCTTCCATGTTCTAAATGTCGAAAGCTTACTTGAGAGGGTCTTCTTCTTCACTGTCCACAGATTCAGCATCACTGTCTATATCACCATGCCAAGCACTATCTACTTTCAGGTAATCATCGCCACTAGCACCACCCTCGTCATCTAAAAAGGCAAAAAGGTAGGTAAAGCTTAAAAGGAGCACACAAGCCAAAGGCCTAAACAGCCAGAGCTTATCCCAGTTTCCTTGGCATGCCTAGGAAAAACCGTTTTCAAAACCTGTCATTTTGCAATGTTGAGGAGGAAGCCATGTCACTGCCGGTATACGTATTGTACTATTGTATTTGCATTTTTCTCTGTCGCTGTCACAGTGTCAACCCATGTTAGTGTCGTTTGTCAGCATTTCTGTTGTCCTATGTCACTGTTTCAAGGCTATGTCGCTTGTCGGAATTTTACCCTGACATGGCCTGTACAACATGTTGAGTGAACCCTATTTACGATGGATTATAAACTTAATGCAAATCTTGGCTTTCCACCTGACTGTACTTCAATAACAACAAATGTACACTGTACCTGAAGAATGATTATCTAGTTTATCACTTTTCTGGGAATTTGAACTTGATGTTCTTCTTCGTTTTTCTCTATCACCATCATAACTCTCTTCACCATCACCCTCATGGTGCCTTCTCTTTCTCCTTTCCTCTACTGCTCGACGCAGCTCAGCCTTTCGAGTGTGAATGATGCAAAAACTGCAATAAAAAAAGCGGACAAGTTGTTATTACTTTTGCTCAAAATTTGAAAATAAAACATGGTCATTGCTTTGACCTCCCCGAGTACAAAAATATTTTATAGGACATCTTTCGCGCCTTGATGACAGGTTGACCTAATGAAATCATTATTTATTTTAGTTAAAGCAAGGACAGTTGGTGGATCATGACAAAAATATATCAGATCATCATTTTTTCCTCTCTTCTAAGAAAACAATGTTATGTAGTAACAGACAAAGAAACACTCCAGCTCAGTACCCACAACATGTTGAAATGACTGACAGCAGTGCATACACATAAAGCAATTCATAGACTTTTATTGCCAGTAGTCACCACCAGCTTGAACAACAAAACAACTTTGATAAGGTCATACATGGGGAACTAAACACTAACTATTTTGGAGTAGGGCTCTTGTTCTTTGTTCCGTAACTTTTTATTCACATATGTGGATATCTTCATCCCCCCCCACTTTAAACTTTATTTTTCAGGAAAAGGGGTCCTGAAGCTTCCAAATAAAAATCCAAGTAATGACATGGTCACAGTAAATAAAACATGACGGGACTAACAATCTAATAAACCAGTAGAAAAATATAAAATGACCCAACCCGATTATACTCCTAGCAAATCTTCAACACTGCATGATAATTTTTATACACGTCCATTCTATTTCTAAGTTTCAACATTTCTAGGCCAGGACTACAAAAACTAATACCCCACTGGTTGAGAGAAAATGGGCCTTAGTTCTTGGGGACTTTAATACATTTATTTTAGGATCCAGAAGGGTTTGCCTAAAACCCGGAATACTGAAACCCCATGCAAACGAAAAATGACTCTCAAGTTTAGTGATTAGGGAAACTGAATGAAAACTGACCTGAAACTTGATTCACTCAGTTTCCTAACCCTTATCACTAAACTTCAGAGTCATTCAGCATTCATCGTGGGGTTTCCAGATTCCGGGTTTTGACCATACCCGATCCAGAACATGAGGGCCATTTATACAAGGAAAAATAAGACGCGTGTTACATAAGATGCATCTTAAATAAGACGCGAACTGTGCCATTTATTCGAGCATGTCTTACCTAAGATGAGAACAGCTCATATAAATGGTTCGCGTCTTATTTCTGTTCATGACTTGCTTTCATGTGAATGTTGCCCGTAGCAACAGTAATCCAACGTGGCGCACCAAAAATTAACGCATGCGTACTATGCATTCGCATCTTATAAAAGACGAGGTCATTTATACGAAGTTTTCCTCGTCTTGGCTAAGACACATCTTATCTAAGAACAGGTGTTTAAGGGCTGTTCTAAAATAAGACACGTCTTAGCTAAGCCGCGTCTTATTTTAGACGAAATGTGCCGTTTATACCGAAAGTTCACGTCTTATTTAAGACGCATCCTATGTAAGACGCGTCTTATTTTTCCTCGTATAAATGGCCCTGTTGTTACACTGTAGGTTAGGGTCAATACCTTTTCCCTCTAGCTGGCAACTTTGGAGCAGGATTAGGGCATCTTCTGCCATTTGATTTGGCCACGAAGTCACAAGGTTTGAAAGGACTAGCCTTGTCTTCTAAGATGTGCTTGTGGCAAAAATCAAAGCCTTTCAACTTCTCCACGTTGCAGATACGCTGCGAGTAACAACACAGATTGCTCGGCCGATCTGGTTTGGATTCTGCTTTGGCATTTGCGCTTGGATCTTCTTTCTTCGATTTCTCAAGAACTTCATTGATCAAGAAGAAATTAAATTTAAATTTTCTGTTCGTTTCCTTCATTTACTGTTTAAAATAAACGATACATTTGAGAAATGCACATGTCTTAGGTTCAGAAGCTTTCAGAGTGTGCTAACACATACGAGACATGTTACGTTTGAGTTTTCATCAAGAAAATTAGCCCCACCGGCAACGAAAACCCTAAAAAGCTTACACAGAAGATCTAAATAAAGTTTCTATTTTCTACTTATAACTTGAGTAAAAGACAAAACCACATACGGGGGTAAAAAATGCGATAAATGTGCAGAAGAAATTTCACTTACCGTCCGCCATCTTGAACTAAACAGATCTCAAGAGGCATGATGGGAAATGCCTTGTAAGCAAGCATAAGCACGCATCGCGTGCAAAGATTCAAAGTAAGCGGCAACGAAAAAGGCAAGAAAAGACATGGAAAGAGAACCACAAGAGGATACTTCTTCTCAGCAAACAATCTACAAACGCTTTTTGAATAACTAATCTTTGGCAATAACATATATTATGGTAAAAAGACGTCAACAGTTTTCAATTTACAAGACATGTTTCGGCAAACTAGTGCCATTTTCAGGTTCAAATTGTACCTACTTCTACAACTGTAGATATTCAAATTGTAATGAGCTTCTACAACTGAAGATGGCATAAGTTTGCAGAAACACGTCTTGTAAACTGAAAACTTTTGTGCTATTTCTTCAAATTATCAATATCGTTATTACTATTTTTGAGAACTTATGCGAATCATTGTACAAGGATAGATATTCACTGAACTGTGGCGGGCGTAAAACATGCTATTCGGTGATAGTGATTAAACACAACTTATGGGATGCTATGGCTGATAATACGCAACAATATTTTACAAGATATGTAGCATTTTTCCGAACCCTTCAGAAATGAGTAAAATGTACTCATATATTCATATGTGTCGACTTTAATGATTTATTTTTCTCATCCTTTCAAACTAATCACTACCGTTACAATCATTTTTTTCTGGTATGTGAACGTGATATGTAAAAAGTTCCATTGTATGAACCTGATATTTTGTCACCCCATGTAAGGGATTCCGGATTCTGGAATCCGGAAAATTTCACTTGTGGAAGCCGAAATCCTGGGCTTTGGAATCCGGAATATATCTCAAGGAATCCGGAATCCCACAAACGATCGGAATCCAGAACCCAAGTTCCACTGACAAAAACTGGAATCTAAAACAGGTCTCTGCTTATTAAATCTACGAGAGACAGTGTACGAAAAGCTAGAGAAGCATACCTCATTGAGAGAGGTAAAACTCTTGAACCATTAGGTATGAATAAGAAAGATGAAATGTATTACAGTTTTTACTTCTTCTATTTGTTATCATTTATTTATACTATTTTTATATCAGTGTTTCAAATATCTTTCAATCACTACTTCAACTGTTTTTGTTTTCAACGTTCACTTTATTTTTTTTTTCTCAATTATAGTATCATAGTGCACGCTATTCTTTAATTTTCAAATTGTAACGTCTTAGCTTAACCTCTTCATTATATGTAAGACCCTCAAGAAGGAAGGCCGTGCCTTCCGAAATATTGGTAGAAATATATACATATTCCTGACTGTGAAATCAGCCTTGCTTCTTTTGTTTAAATTTTCACTTATTGCTAATTAGATCCTTTATTAGGATCAAGTCCTTCTTTTTTGTAAGCTGGTCCTTGCTTCAAAAATTGACTCTGCGGAAGAAAGCGGACTGTTGGTGACAAAAATACAAAGTGCATAATGAGTTCAAACGTTTCATTGCCACTCTACAATCTTCATACTGGAGTTAACGTCTTCGGTCATCAGGTGGATCGTCCGTCAGTAGAGAGAGGTCTTGAATGGACTTCATACGTGACAACGTCATTCAAAATGTTCAATTGGGTAGCTGTAAGTTTTCATCAAACAGTTTCTTATTGATTGGCGTGTTATGCAAAAAGGCTTTAAGTTTTCATTGGTATTTCGTGTGCGCAAAAACGGTTTCATTGTGACTTTTTGTCATATACTTACCGACGATATGTAGGTGATAGACGTTGTGTAGGTATACTGACACAACTTCCAATATGTACTGACGGCGAATGGGAGAAACCGTTGAGTTTTACGTTGCATTTTTATCTACACCTAAAAACTACCAAGCCAGATCTGACTCGTCGAGCTTTGTGAAGAGGTACAGCGGAAAGCGGGGTTAGTTGCTTCGTAGTTTCCGAAGTTGTCTTCGTTATACACTGCCCCTGACAGTCCATTAAATTCACAGCCTTTAGATGAACCAAACCAGCTGTCCATATGCAGAGTCCAGACATTAGAATACGCAGATAAAACCGTGCAGTTGAGTAGTACATATGGCTACTTGGGGTCCTAACCAATCAGAGCGCAGCAAATTTCGTCTCGACCAATCAGCATCGCGCATTTCGCCCATGTGACTTATTGACGTCACAACCCATTGTTTTAAACCACGTGACCCCATAGGAATAAAGAACACGCACACACAAGAGTTGAATCTCACATTCTTGACATAGTTTTAATGACCGCGTGAAGCCCTGGGTACAAGCGGGACGTGTGTGACACCCTACTGACGTCACGCCCATTTTTTTTTTTTTTTTACATTAATGCACAAAATCGAAAAAAGGTGTTTGCTTCATGGCAGAAGAAGTCATATGACTGGGATGAGGCCATTTGATGTAGTGGTTGAAACCTGTGTATGACCATGGTTTGAGGAAAGGGAATTTGATCGTGGCCAAAGTGACTGAAACGAATTGAATAGAGGAATGGTTAGATCCAAGAAGCAAACTGGATGAGATACAGTCGACCATTGGCACGCACAAGGCGATGGTTTAGGGTCCAATGATTGACTGGAAAATAAAAAAACAAACCTCGATTACAAGTGGGACGTGTGTGACACCCTAGTGATGTCACGCCCTTGAAATGTTTGTTTACAATAATATTCTATTAAAATCCAGTCTTGATTATAATCAAAATGGTCTAGGATCCAGTGACAGGCTAATAAAAAATCAATATCTTGGTTTGAGTATCTAGGAACCAATGACATACTAATGAAAAACGAAAAAAATTAACGCTTTAGTTGGAGCCAATAGAATTTGTTGGACCCTCTAAGAGCATCTAAGAACCACTGACATACTGATAAAACAAAAAAAATCAATGTCTGAGTTTGAACAAATGGAGAAAACTAGACCATCCTTGATGATTGACAATGCAAAGTTTATGAGGGATAGGCCAGCTTCGAAAAATCATGAGATCTTGAATGAGCCAATGAGAATCTAATGAAGAACGATAGAAAGTTGATGAGGGATGGGCCATCCTCGAAAAATCATAGCAAAGTCAATGATCCAATGGGATTCTAATGAAAAAAAGAATGATTTGAACGCGTGGGTCCTTCTTTGAGGATAGACGAAACAAAGTCTATAAGGATTTTAAGGATCTCATCATCTAGCATCCGATGAGAATCTAAATGAAAAAAAAAAAAATGAGAATGAACATCCAGCAGGGGTGGCGCCACCATGCAGACCTCCCCCTGCCGGGTGTTCAAAAATCCCATCCTGTGCTTTCTAAAATATGACATCCCCAACAAGGTTCATGGAGGGTGTTCACGTGACGTGAATACGTCCAACAGCGTTTGCACACAAAATACAACTGCTTCATCAGATAAGCATGGTAATATCTGGTGTGATTCTCTATTATCTGGGCAGTGGCTGAAAAAGGCAAGGGATATAAATAGCTCGTATGACAAAACGAGTGTCTGAAACAAAAAAAACAACGGATGGGTGTTAATCACGGGGTGGATAGCCCATCCCTTGCATCATCTCACACCAATAACAGGGCACATCTAAATCGCGCACACGACGAAAATTTAAAAAACAACGACAACAGAGTAATTTGAGGGGTCTTGGATAAGGTGGAAGGGCAACCCCTGTTCCAGTGTACCATTGTACGATACTACCACAAAAACACCAGGCCGCGGAAGTACCATGAACCCTGTGGGTGCTGAGAATAGTGTGCGAATCTACGAAAAAAAAATTAATACTCGGTCTTTATGAGTAAGAAAGCAAGACGGTCTCGGAACCAGCAACTGTTGTAGATATGACTATGTGTTTCTAAAAAATTCAATAATAATAATAAATGTCTTTGGTATCTCGTCCAAGTAAAAAAGCCACACAATCTCGGAACCAGCGACCGCTTTTGAGGTGTCTACGGGTATCTAAAAAGCAGTACCATCACAAAACTGAGTGAATTGTCGAACACTATGAATATGGTAATGGTGTTGCAAGGAAAGGATCCACCCCCATTCTTCTATGGCGGAAATCACATCTGAAAACCATAAAGGCCAATCACAGAAATCACATCTGAAACGTTTTATGAAGACGGATTACACATTTGAACGGGATGTATCCATCCCCCATACTCTGTTGACGTGACTAAACGTTTCATGAAGTTGGATTACACATCGGACCGTGCTATACTGACATCGTAATTGAATGGGACGTACCCAATCTCCATACTGGTTTAACGTGTAATGAAAGCCTACAATGAACGATGCAAAATTCGGAAAAAATTAGAGCGTAAAGAGCGCACACTCGGAATCCAATGCAAATGATGACGTAACAGGCAATGCGTGCCTAAAAAATAGTTAATACAAAAATTAATCCTCTAAAAAAAATCCAGGGCCGCCAAATCCGGTTCACCCACAATACCCTGGGACCGTAAAAACGAATTGATGCGAAACGTCATGCGCAAAGGAAAGTCGTCCCATTCGCGATGGTTAGGGTCCCCACTCTGAACATACTCGACTATTTCATCTTCGGTGAGGGTCCCCACCCTGAGGCCTGCAATCATGTCATCAAGTCTGAATCCATCCATCATCCGCTCGCAATGGTTACAGACCCCGCTAGGGGTGGGATGAGCCACCCATTGATAGATATGACACACAGGCTGATTCTCCACATACTCCCAAGAATCTGACGAAAAAATGAAAATCAACACGAACAGGCTGGAACCCAGAACCGCGCGACCCAATTGAGTCTAGCACGTCGAGGGCAAAGACATAGATGGACAGGCCATAACACAGTGCGTAGAAACTCGAACCCCTTGAATACCTCTGTGAAAATCAAAAAGGTATAAGAAAAAAGGGTCCCACACCCCAAAAAAAATGAAAGCTATAAAACTCACCAGCCATACGGCGGCGATGGACCTCGTGATCCAGTTTCCTGGCGATGGGGTGGTCCCATGGCAACGTTCTGGCCCAGGCTCTGAGTTCCTCATGAGTACAGCGACGGAATAAGGCGCGATAACACTCGTGTCCCATCGGGAGGTGGTGGAGAATCTTGAGCATGTCGAATAAGACAGCGATCGGCACCGAGAACAACACAATTGACTGCAAGGAGCTCACCATCTTGGATAGCTTGACGGATCAAACTGGAATGAGCTCACACGGAGCGCGCAACGGGATTTAGAGACTTGATGAGAGGCGCTGATTGGTGGAGCGAGATCATGTGGGAGAATTTGACCAGGAGAGGAAACTCTAGGGGGTACCCCCCATGGGTACACTTTTTTGGGTGAGACTCCAAGGCCTGGTGCGAGTGAGTGATTGGTCCAAGGAACGGATAACTAAGGCAGACTAGAGTGGAGAGAGCCCATTCCATGCTTGGCCACTCTCATCATGGACTGTCGAGGGTTGGTCGACCCCAGGAATAAACCGTTTGGCAACGTGCTCCCGTTGGAAGTACAAGTGAAGATCATGTTTTGGGTGGAGTGTTTTTACACGATGGACAAGCGCAAAAAAGTGGTGCGAGAGTTCAAGAGGTTGCCCAAATGCGCCATGACAGGGTATCCCAAGCACCTAGGCGAAGGCTTGCATTGGAACCAAGTGATCGTGCGATTGCATGCTCCCAGGACCAATGGGTGCCACCATTGCCATCGCATGTCGGATCACCGGATGTCGGTGAGTGATTTTGTTTTTTTTGCCTTCTTCTCATGACCTTGACACTGACAAAACATTTTTTTTGTTTTAGGTTGGCATGATGGCGGAAATGGCCCGTGTCCCTCCCAATCTGGATAGGTTGATGAATGAGGGCATTGCCTTTATCATTAGGGAATTCACTCATCGGATTCCCGAGACACCCTTGGGTGAGCGCCCCGTCATGATTGGCCGGAGAAAGCCCTCGTACAATACCATAGACAAAGTCATGACGAGACTGGATTTGATTCATAAAGTGATGGAAGCCATGGATTTTGTTATCGTTGATGTACATTAAAAACACGTGATTTGTTCTATGAAACAGTGTTTGTTTATTGACGTTTAAATAAAGCGTCCAGGGTGGGATAGAGGACAGGGTCTTCTTCTCGGGTGCCGATAATGGCGGTCTTGTCTTGGAGGGTGGGTAAGGCGATTTGTTCCTCGGTCATACCATCACAGACATGATACTCTTGGGAGGTGGGATTCCACCAAGACCATTGTTCTTTGTCCACATCAAACACATAAAGGGGTTTGCCTAAAATCTGGGCCATGACCACACCCCATCCTGTGCCACCCAATAGATGCTTGCCATATTCGTCAAAATGACCCAAAGCCAGGACGAGGGACGCAGGCTGGATCACGTAATAATTGCGTTGAATATACTGGAGGCTGATAGGATGATGAAGTTGTCGACCCAATCGAAACGCCACCTGGGTGACGGTCGGGGTGGCCGCGTCCAACTGGGACTGGGTCAAGGGCGCGAGGGACTTGGATCGAGGGTGACAGGGTGGGATAAAGACCACACAGGTATGACCATACAAGTGACATAATCGCTCCGCATGCGTGTCCACACCTTTAGCTCCTCCGGTGTAAATAGTCAAAGGCATACTCTGTGAAAAAAATGAAAAAAAGTCAGTGTTTATGACGAGGGATGGGCGTCCAAGCCCACATGGTATGCGGTTCATCATCGGCGTACATCAGGGGTACATCCCATTCCCGCTGGGTCACGGTTTGTTCAAAGACATGTATGACGCTTCGACAATCACTGCAATTATCCGGGATCCAATCCAGTCCTTGACCGTTGGCAAACGCCTGATCTTTGGCCTCGGTACAATAGTTGCATAACAGATAGTCTAATAATCGATCACACCGTTTTTGCCACAACACGCGTTGGGCATTGATTTGCGAGAGGGTGGGTAAGACATGGGTCTGGCGACGTAACCATCCACTCATTTGACAGACCCGTACATGGGCGCAATGATCATGCCAGATACCACTCCCACGGGCTCCATGAGAATGATCCTCACACCAATTGCGACCATGATCCTGGCGAGCCATGACATTGGCGGTGGCAATAGGGAGATTGGCCAAGTCCCCACACCCCTGCCCTTCTAGGACCACGAGAGGGTAGGCGAACGGGGGCTCTTGCAACATTTTAGTCAGCCCATTGAACGTGAACACCCCCAATCGTCCCCGCTGGGAGGTGAGATGTTGTTGACACCAACGGGTGATATCGTCTCGCATCTGTTCGTAGGGATGAAAGTCTTGGCGATTGTACGCGGTGTAGGGTTCAAACGGCAAGCCATGCACGGTCTGGGTCTGACGATCGACGCGCGTTCGGGCTTTTTCGGATAAATGATGATACGACATGCCTTCGGGTAACAAATATTTGATCAAGCCATGATAATGCCCCGTCCAATCACAAAAAGCCAGTTCTCGAATGATATACTCGTCGCGGGAGAGGGCAAACCCCTGACTGAATACCAACAGACCCACTTCGTTCAATGCCATAATTACTTACAATGTGAAGGACTACACCGTTGCTGACGACAACTTTGCTTGCCATGGACAGAATGAGACCCTGGTGAGTCACATCTGGTTTTATAGGAGCGGAGGTGGTTTTTGATTGGCGGAGACCAAGATCACACCACCCTCACGAGAGCCCAGGACGAGTCCGGATTGGTGGAAAAAGGATCGTATGAGCATCACGAGGGACATCACATGAGGTAGGAGGAGGGGCTATAAAAGACCGAGTAGACGCTCCCTGGAACTCATTCGTCCAGATGAATCGTCAAGCCACTCAACCTGCCGCCGTGCCTTCGGGACGCAAACGACGTCGCGTCAGTAAGAAACAAAAACAAGAGGAGGAGGAGAAAGCCCAAGCGCGAGCTGCACAGATGAAAGCGGATCATGATCAGGAGATGGCCGAGCTCGGGTTTTCCCGAGCAGAACTCGCGGAGATGAAAGCCAAACAACCCCCTACCAGTGAACTAGTGATCGCGCTCAATGCCTTGCCTAAAGCGGCGGACCCACTGCCCACACCTTCCCCCACCGATCAATCTGTGAACGCATTGATGGAGGGCACCCTGAAAGACTATAAAGAAGAATGTGTAGAGGAAGGGACGTTTCATTCAGATCCAGCCACCGAAGTGGGAGAATGGGACATCCAGGACATAGACCAGATGGATACCCAGTTCAACCAACTCCTGTATGAAGTGTGCCCGTTTCATCCCCATCAATTCATTCAATGTGTCAACCCCCAAGCCAGGTTTGGTCCCCTGAGATTCAAGTGTCCTCAACCAGGGTGTCCGGTCTATTTGTTTGAAGACACACGAGAAATAATGATGGAGGCTTTAAAAAACGACACGCATCCTCAAGTCCATGCCCGTTTGAAACACGGAGAGCTCAAGTGCAAGTGTGAGTTTGTTCCCAAGATGAAATTGAGTCGCACGGCCAAAAATCGTAACAAAGTGTTTTTCAGTTGTGGGAGCTTTGTCCCTGGGAGAGAACCCTGTGGCTACTTTCAATGGCTCCATGGTCCCTTGTGGTGCCCCCGAGAGCAAGCGCAACCGACCATGAGACGATGGGTCAAGGAGTCCCTCCCTCTTATGAAAGGTCCAGAAAAAGAGAGACCCTGGGGCCTGCACGCTGTAGAGATGCGTTATGGTGAGAGGCCAAACCCCGTGATGGATAAGCTAAAGTATGATCCATGGATGAAACAGTTTGGTGAGTCTGCCCAAGCCCAGGAGCGAGAGTTTGAGAGAAGGCGCCATTTACATAAGAACTTTGGCAGTTTGTGTTTGTTTTGAAAATTCATGTAGGTGAAAAAAACTATTAAAAGACAAACTTGGACTCGAATCCTGTGTCAGTGTCTTGATGTCGTTGCCACGCGCTTACGAAGATCCCCGAGCACCGGGGGCCTTGGGTGGGGTCCAACCCTTTGCCCGAGCCCATACATTGAAATCCCCGCAAGCGCAACAGATTCTTCAATCCGTGTTGAGCTATACGCTCCACAAACCCCGACGGACCCGGTTTCCCACCACTCCCACCTTGGTCTTTGGCCGAGACGAACAATGGCAGATGGATTTAGTGGACATGCAAAAACTCAGTCGGTGGAACCAAGGCCACAAATATTTGTTGACGGTCATCGACGTCCTGTCCAAGTATGCCTGGGCCGTCCCCATCAAATCCAAGAGTGCCGCCAACATGATCAAAGGGTTGGAAGCCATACGCCGACAGGCCTCACCACGACGACCCCTCCGTGTACAAACGGATCAAGGCCAAGAATTTTTGAATCGACAGGTCCAAGCCTGGTTCAAGAAACACGATTGGCATCATTTTTACACCTATGGAGATAGCAAGGCCTCGGTGGTGGAACGATGGCATCGTACCTTGAAACAACGCATGTACCGGTATTTCACCGCGCACAATACGTTGCGGTACGTGGACGTCTTGCAACCCTTGATCTATACCTACAATCACACGTATCATCGCAGTATTGGGTTAGCGCCGCATCAAGTCACCTTTCGAAACGAGTCCGAGGTATGGGATCGACTCTATGGATCACGGTTGAAGCCCAAGATCCCCCCACCCAAATGTCAAGTGGGCGATCGGGTACGTCTCAACAAGAAACATCGTCCCTTCAAAAAAGGGTATTTGCCGGGCTGGACAGAAGAAGTGTTTGTGGTCACGCATGTGCGTCGTCATCCTGTGGTCACTTATCGACTCAGTGAATGGGACGGCACGCCTATAAAAGGCACGTTTTACGAACCCGATGTGCAAAAAGTCCAAGTCTCAGACGATTCGTTGTTTCGAATCGAAAAAGTCTTGAAACGGAAAGGACGTCAGATCTTGGTCCGGTGGAAAGGGTGGCCGGCCAAGTACGATAGTTGGATTCCTGCGCAACATGGTCCGCGTCAAAATAACGCCTCGAAAAAGAAAAAAGCGGGTGCGGTTTCTCGATGAAGTCCTGGCGGATTCTAGTCGACCGCGAGCTAGTTACACGCCCTCGCCCACCAGTGACGCGGACGTCCTGAAATTTATCCAGAAGAAAGCCGCCGAACAACGGCAAACCCAACCGTGGTGGGACAAGTTGGCCAGTCCCACCAAACAGCAATGGGCCTACGCCAACGCTTACCATCGAGCCGAGGAGTATGCCAAAAAACGAGGGGCTCTACGGTCCCCACCCAAGAAAAAACCACAACGCCGACGTGCCGGACGTCATCCCCCCATGCGCAAGAAGAAACCCCCCAAACCCAAGACTTGCATGACCCTGATGGAACTGGCCCGGGCCTTTCCCAACATTGCCCAGCAAGTATGTTTTCATCCTAAACAATCGACCTTCAATTCAGTGGTGGGACGTGTCCCTCGCAGTAAACAGAAAGTGGCGACGTGGCTATAAAAGGACCCTGCACCCTATTAGACGTGCCTCTTGTTCCTCAACATGAGTGAGATTAAACGCTTGACGCTCCTCAGCGATCCGACCGACGAGTTTCCCAACAATGCCAACAACAGTTTCAAGGTCCGTCTGCCCGAACGCCTGGACTTACCAGGCACAGGCTGGCATGCCTCGCTCATGTCCCTGACCGTGCCAGATCAAGGCCAGAGCAATGCCATCATTGCCGCGGATCCGCATACCAAAGTGGTCCGATACGAGTATCCACAATCGGTGCGTCTGTGGACAGACACGGGTAACCCATCGACCTCAGGGTATTTGAGCGTGAGTTCCCCCACGGTGACCGGTATGATTGAATTGGAAGATGTCATGAATCCCACTCAAATCGTGGCGACGGGGAGACAGTTTTGGCAACGCGTGGCGCAACAAATGCATAACTTCATCATGTACACGACGATGAAAGATCAATGGAACGAACTGATCAAGAATAGCGACCGAAAACCGATTGTGTTTGTCAATAAACACGGCATGCCCCGAATGACTTGGAAAGATGAGTCTCTGGTGATTGAAGCGATTCCTAAAAAGCAGTTGTTGAACAATAGACAAATCAACATGGTGGAGTTTTACATCAATGTGGACATTGCATTCAAGTTTGGCTTGCTGCGCCTCAAGACGGGCAAGACTGGAAACAGCCAGAGCGATTATGTGATAGGGCCGAATCTGCAATATTCTCTGCCCACCAAGACCTATGATGAGACCACAGGTCCCGCCGGGAGTCGATATCGAGCCTATTACGATTGGGAAGGGGAGGTGTACGAGGGGGTCAACTATACCAGCCGAGCGTTTTTCATCGTGACCAAAGACAATGTGAAATGGATGAGATTGCACCAGGCGTTTGAATGGCGGTTGAATAACCTGGATGCCTCGTTTGAAAAGATTGTGGGGACCCGCCGACGGACCGTCATGGTCTATTCGGATCTGGTGGAATCCACGGTGGTGGGCAGTGGCAAGTATCCCCTGTTACGAGAAGTGCAATTGTTGAGAACCGGCGATGGGGAAAGTACAGCCGAACCCTTGCACCACCAATGGATCAAACTACGAGGAAATCAACTAGACATCTTGGAAGTGGAGATTGCCAGTACCAGTGGACCCTTGGCCCCTTTACCCCCCGGCAAAACCCTGGTGACCATTGGTCTCAAACAACTATAAAAAGCCACCCCCACGTCTCTGGCAGGTCCAAAACACGACGTGAACCATGCGCGGAGGCAGTTTAACGCGGTACCACACGCCCGTGCTCACCAAGCAAGAGGGCAAAGGCTTGGCCGAAGACTTGATCAAACTGGCAGGACCCTTGATCGTGCAACAAGCTCAAGCGGGACTGCAAGATATTCAACGCGGCAAAAGTGCTGCAGCCACCTGGGCGGATCGAAGTGCCCAACTCAGCCGCGGCTTGAAACGCAAAGCCCCCGCCATGGCTTGGACGACTGGCAAACACAAGGTTAAACGGTCCGCTCAAAATACCTATAAAAGAGCCACGCAACGTGTACGGGACATCTTTGGACTGTGAAAACAATGGTACGTGTAGGAGGTTTTCTCAAATCGCAAAATCGCGTTCGACGGCAACGGGCCCGTGGACGGTTCATTTCACCGTATCAAGTGGGAGGCACGATCTTTGGCAAGTCGACGACAGCGCGTTATCCGCTGATGCACACATCCTCCCGCCAATTGGATCGTTACCTACAGCGCAGGATGAAAGGGGGCACGATTTTTGGCAAGTTCACTCGTAGGCGCCAAAATCCTTTGGGGTTCCCCACAGCAGCCGATGGCATCAATCCTGCTCGATGGAGAGTGGAACAGGCCCTGCGCCGCATGAAAGGGGGCAAGATTCTTGGGGCGTTGGGCAAGGGGGATCTCCGAACAGTGTTGTGGGCCAATCAAGCCAAAGCCCGGAAACAGAAAAAGAAACAGAAAGGAGGCAACGTCTTTAGCCGATTGAAAAAACGCATTCAAATCGATTTTCCGCACCGCCCCTTTCCCGCCGCGCATCCCATCCATGATTGGCACAGACTACGAAAAGGTATAAAAAGAGGACGTCGTTGAACCTCGTGGACAGATCGCACCATGTCGCTCGAACTGTTTGACGTGCCCGATGTGGATTATCGGTACGAAGCCTCGCGGGAGGTGGAGTTTCAACCCGCTTTGACAGGCATCCAGCCCATCACCTTCTCCATTCCTGGCTCTGACGATTATTACGATCTCAATTCTCTCCGCTTCAAAGTCAAAGTGCGTTTGACCGATCCCGCCGGCGGGTATACAGGACTGCATGCGGGTCTACTCATTTCCAATGCCAACGAAACCAGACATGTCTACTGCGTCAACAATTTTGGGCAATCCATCTTTCGAGACATTACCATGAGCATGAATGGCGTCCTTGTGACCGAACAGAGCAACACTTACCATTACAGAGCCTACATAGAAACCCTGCTGAATTACAACCGAGAAGAAGGAGCCACCAAGCTAGCTGCCCAAGGATGGGTCAATCAGCTGAATGTAGCAGAAGAAATAGGAGCCACCGCCGCCAATTCCGATGTCCCTGTGGCTGCCAATTGGAGTGGCAATGCAGAGTTACGTGCCCTGACCAGCAAGTTACTGAGTGAAAATTGGCACACCTTCATCGTGCGTCCCCATTTGCCCACCCTCCATACAGGCAAATTGTTGGTCCCCAATATCCAGTTGGACTTTGAACTGTTCCTGAACCCCAAAACCATCTACCTGATGGGCTCCCCCAACAAAGGCACCTTAGTCACCAAGAAAATTCCAGCCATCCACAATGATGACATCAAAGTCACCTTGTTGATGAGAAAAGTGACCCTGAATGCTGCTGTCTATGTCAGACTGCAAAAAGAAAGACAACTGAACAAACAGATTGCCCGCTACCCTGTGGTGCGGAGTGAAATTCGCACCTTTTCCTTTGATGGACGCACCACCCAATGGGAACAAGACAATGTGTTTGTGGGACGATTTCCTGATCGAGTGATTGTCGGATTATTGCATTCGGATGCCTTCAATGGAGACCTGGAAAGATACCCTTTTGCCTTTCAAAAGTTTGGTGTCACCCAAGTACGACAGACCTTGAATGGAGAAGAATACCCTTACAGAACCCTGCAATTGACAGGAGACCAAGCCTATGAAGATTTGCTGGGCTACGATCGATTTCTACAAGCCATGGGTGTCTACAATGAACACAAGATTCCTATGCTGCTGCCTGGTGATTGGGGACAAGGCAAGAATTGTACCTTGTTCATGTTCAACAATGTGCCTAGTCAAAAAGCCGATGACCCTGAATATCGCAACCCCCGTCAATCGGGCAATACGCGATTGATCATTGATTTTTCGGCGGCTGTGGGACACAACGTCACCGTCTTGGTATGGAGCGAGTATGAAAACATGTATGAGATCAACCATCTGGGAGGTATAAAGTACAACATCAACGGCTGAGAAATCAGAAGTCAAAAAGACACCGAGCATGGAGTTTGTGGCACTCAGTGATGCTGTGTTGCGGACCCTGGCCTTGAAGACCCTGAATTACGACGCGTGTTTCATGGGTGCATCCCGCCGACCAACTCCCCGATCCCCGCCAAGGAGATCCGTCAAGCCTACATTGTCAACACGGACCCCGCGGGAGAACCGGGCCAGCATTGGTTGGGCCTGTGGACCGAAAAGAACCAGTGCGAGATCTTTGACAGTTATGGTCTACCCCTGCACGTATACACCACCCCGGAGTTGCACCAATGGTGGGGTCAATGGAAGTACCTGACGCGCAGTGACCAGACCCTGCAAGCCCTGGATAGTCAAACCTGTGGCCATTATGCGTTATTTTTCTTGAAAGCCCGGGCACAAGGACGGACCTATCAAGAATTTTTAAGTCAATGGAGTTGCGACAATTTAGTGTTGAATGATCAAAAAGTGGCCGAGCAGTTGAAACGAGTGATCAAACGGGAATTACAAGATGAAGTCGATGCCCGACGGGATGGGGGGCAAAAGAATGTGAGCCGCCAGGCCTTTATCACTTGTAATCATTGTGAGTGTTGAATAAAAAACCCATAAAACGAAATGTGTGGTCCACGAGTGGTCATTTGTCTCTCATGATGATTACGCGAAGCGATGTCCAGCGTATTGTGGATGCGTTCATTCTCGAAGAAACCTTGTATTGGTGGGAACACCCCATCGAACGGGTCAACACAGTGCGAGGGATTGACGCGTGGGATGGGTATCATTGGCTCATGGCCCGACAATTGGCCCAAGACCAAGATTGGGTGTCCCTCAAACAGTATATGGACAGTATGAGCGAAACGTATTTAAGAGAGATCATGGAAGGTCTGATCCAGTCTGAATCGCCACGTGTGTATCGCGAGTATTGGACAGCATGCCCCACCGCAGACGACGGCGACGACGACAGGGCACCCGACGACCCCGTTTTCGCCAAAACGGACGAGGCATCATGAGCGTGTTGGCCAAAGCCTATAAAATCGGGGATAAATTGGGACGCGACAAACGGTATAAACGCATGGGTGCTAAAGGAGCCACGGGTCATTATCGACGTCACCCTCGACCGTGGGAATCATGATCCGACAACCCAGCAGTGTGATTATCGCAGGCCCGTCGGGCAGTGGCAAGACGGATTTGGTGGAACAATGGTTACGGTACCTGAACGTCTTTCAAGTCAAACCCCGTAAGATTGTGTATGCCTATGATCGTTGGCAACCCCGATTCGAGCGGATGCAACAAAAGGATGGGATTCAATTTTATCGCGGGTTACCGGACCCCCGTCATTTGACGCAATGGTTTGGTCGAACGCGTGGCGGGGTGCTGGTCTTGGACGACCTGATGGAAGAAGGGGGACAAGACAAGCGCGTGTTGGATTTGTTCACCAAAGATTCGCATCATCGCAACATCACGGTGTTGTATTTGACGCAAGATTTATTCCCGCCGGGCAAATTTTCCAAGACCATTAATCGCAACGCGCATTACATTGTGGCCTTCAAAAACCCTCGGGATCAAACAGGGATACGGACCATTTTATTGCAAGCCTTTCCGGATCGGTGGCGTCAAGTGTTGCGCCTATTTAAACGCATCACGGCTCGACCTTTTGGCTATTTGATGTTGGATGTGCATCCAGCCTCGGATGATCGCTACCGCCTGTGGAGTCATTTAACGCCCCGAGAAGGCAAAGCGCAAGTCCACACCTTGCGGGCGGATGTCCCTGCCGTTCGAAAACGTGCTGCTACGAGAACGCGAACGTCAACGGCGGCAAAGAGAAGGCGGACAACATACTGAGTTAGCCGCTCGCATGGACGCTCACACGCCCGCGGGGGTAGGTTCCCCTTCGGTCCTCCGAGATCTCAGCAGCATGACGGACATGGTGACCGAATTGTCTCGACCCGTGGATCGTGCCCAATTGCAGCAAGACATTGAGGATTTTAATTTGACCTACCCGGTTAATGTAGACGATGCCTTGAATGCCTTCACACTCCCGCCCGTGGCAGGCACTGGCACAGCCCCTGTCACCACTGCCACCACCACCACCACGGCAGCCCCAACCCGCCCCACCACCACCACCAGCCGACCACGACCCGTCACGTCCACCCGAACACGCCCTACCACCACGGCCACGACCACCACCGCCCCTGCCCGCCCCTCCACCTCCCGCCGCAGTGTCGGGGCAGGAACCAGGACCACTACCTCGACGACAACGACCCCCACGGGACGCCCCACCGTGGCTGCCAAACAACCGCGACGGCGCCCCAGGGTGCCCTCCCCACCCTCCCCAGGTTCGTCCCCTCCGTCCGATGACGAGGATGGCGATGATGATGATGACGATCGACGGCGAGGCTTAAGGCGACGGTTGGATTTGCTCAATGAAGATGCTCAAGAACGGGCACGAGGTCGACGGATTCGCAACATCACGCACACCAATACGGTGACCACCGTGTATGAAGAGGGGGGTCGTCCCTCGGTGCGCCGCACCTCCACCCGAACCTCCAGCCCAAGTCCACCCAGACCACCACGCCGAGGACGGGGCCGTGGCCGAGCACGCGGACGGGGCCGAGCCCGTGGACGAGGTCGTAGTATATAAAAACAGGGACCTTTCTTCCCCTGTCCCAAAAAATGTGTGGCCGTTGTCGATACGCGATGGGACGCAAACGCCAACGCAGGACGACACGACGACGACCCGCTAAACGACGACGGCGTGTGAGTCAAGTAGGGGGCGTTGCGGTCAGCATGCCCCTAGGGATTCTCAAAGCCGGCTATGGGATCACCAAAGCCATCGGGGATCATCAAACCAAGCGTGCCATCGCCATTGGCGAAAAACGTCGACGAGAAGTGGCTTCCGGTAAACGGAAAAAATACGCGGGGGAATCCTTTAATTGTTCCATTATGTAAAAAAACTATAAAAGACTCAAGGGGTGTCCTCCCTCGGACAGTTCATCATCATGCATTGTGGTCCACGACGACGAAAACGACGCCGACAACAACGCGGGGGTATTCTCCCGTTTCTCATTCCCGCAGCGGTGGCTGCCGCCGTCCTCATGAAGAAAAAGAAAAAGAAAGTGGGCAAGATGAGTGCAGCCAATCAACGACTGGCCCAACGACGGGTCCAGCGGATGTTGAGACGCGCAAAGGGATGGGATTTCTAAGCTCCATGCACGCTATAAAAGAAACGCTTGTTGGACACACGATTCCCATTAAGGATGGTCCGTGGACCCAACGGTCGCCGACAACGTTATGTCCCTCGAATACGACGCCGCCGACGTGGACGCCAACGCGGTGCTAAACTCCCGCTTTTGGCAATGGCTCTCTCGCCTTTGTATCTCCGGAAATTCAAACCCAGAATCCGACTACGACGCCCAGACTAAACGACGCCCAAAACGCAAAGCCGTCACGTTTGCGTTGGATTGGGATGACCAGTATGACGCCGCTTTGTGTGCCCGGTGTCGACATCACATGCAAACGCATTATCATGGTGAATTGTGTGGTCGGTGTGGGTTATTTTTACCATAAATAGACCTTGGTCCTTGCCTGAACTCAAGATTCATCAAGGGTGGCGCATGGAACGTCAAGCCCCGTTCTTAAAAAGTGTCTTACGAGAAGCCAATCAACACAAACGACAAGAATTGTTGCGGATGGCCAATGCGGATCAGATCAATGCGGTCAGTGAATTGGTGATGAACACCCTCCGTGGTACCGTCCCCGTTCCCGGCAGACCATTACGTTGCTCAAACCTCACGCTCAGAGTTTACGCGCCATGGCTAAACCCGCTCATTCCGTCAAACGACGACGCGCCATCATGATGGCTCAAAAGGGGTGCCCTGGCCGGAACTCTACCGATGTTATAAACGTTGCATGCGCTAGACCCGACCCCTCAGTTGCACCATGGAACCCGAGATGGTCAGCACCACGGTGAACAACGCCCCGGCTTTTTTACAATTACGAGACCAGTACAAACAAGAATTGGTGGAAGACACCCGCTTAACCAAAGCCGCCGATTTAGCCGCCAAACAACATGTCCTTCTGACCAGTGATGTCCCTGATGCCTGAAACGGCCTCAACTCAAAGCCGTCAGCCGTCAATTACGCCATTGGACTAAAAAGTGCGCCAACCGTTTGAGCTGCTGCTGGGGGTGTGACTGCTGCCGGGGCCACGACGCCGGGCGACGATGATTTTGAAGCGGGTCCCATGCAAGCCTGGTTTACGCAATTGGTCAAGGCCACCCAGGGTATAAAACAAGGCACCCCCACTGGTGGACCCAGAAACCGCTTGTCCCGCCCAAGCCAAAGTTCACCCCTAGTGCCAAAAAGAAACTCAAGTTTACCACCCCATCGACCAGTGCGGAGTTGGCCAAAGAATTGCCCTTTTCAGAGGACGTGGGCCTGACACCTTGGGACACCCCCCTCCTTAGCCGTCAAGCGCAAAATCAGACAAAAAGCCAAAGAAGCGGCCAAAAAGAGAGCTACGAGTATCGCCAAAAGAAAGCCGCAGGTTGGGCCAAGAAAGCCTTTGGATTGGAAATCGTGGAAAACCCCCAAGATGGGACGCAAACGCCGTGCTGCGGCCTCCCGTTCCCGAGCCAAGCGACGACGACGACGGTCGCAACGGGGCGGCAAGTTATTTGATGTGCAGAACCTCCTTAACAAGACCGGCATTGAATTTCATTGGCCTGGTTATCAATATATGGGCCCTGGCACTCATTTGAAAAAAAAACGATTGGCCTGTGGGGATCCCGGTATCAACCGGTTGGACAGGATTGCCAAAGCCCATGACATCGATTATGATAAAGCCAAGACATTGAAAGACAAATGGGCAGCGGATCGCAAGATGATTGCCAAGATTGATCAACTCCCCGGTAGTAAAAATTTAACAGAGCGTATTGTGAGGTGCATTATGAAAGCTAAACTTGATTCGGCATGTAAACCCCTTTAGTCATAAAAAACAAGACACCATGTTCAATAGCACAATACACATGATTTAATTAAACGTTTGTTCTTACAAGCACGAGTCTATTTTTGTAAAGCCTCTGCACGAAGGGTATGCACACTGTCCTCATTAGGTACACTTAGGGGCAAGTCCAATGGCAACCACGGAGGGAAAGGGACGCTCTAATGCCTCGTCCAACCAGGACCATTCTCGACGTCGAATGGCTTCCATTCGCTTGTTGTACCGTTCTTTCTGCAACGCTTTCACCCTTCCTCGCCCAACTCTTTTCTTTTCTGGGCGGCCTGCTCTCGTCGATGGGCATTGGTCCGTTGCAGATAAGCCTGGTAGGTCCTCGCTCTTTCATTTTCTCCCGCCAGTTTTTCTGACATTGGGCGTTTTACGCTTGACCTCCTCCCTTTGTTCCTTGCTCATGCCGTAGTAGCGCTGCATGCCCTCTTGGGATTTTTTAGCTTTGAAGGCATCGTACTCACCACTGACTTTCAACCGAGCCATGCGTTCATGATACCGGCGACGGTGAAGGGCCTTGACATCCCTATGCCGTTGGGTTTGGCATATAGACGTTGCCGATACGCTTTTTGTTGCGCTTTGTTTTCACAGGGTCCCGTTTTTTCCTGGGGTTTGGGGGCTGGCGCGATCCTGGCGTATCCATGTTCCAACTCTAGTAAACGGCACTGCACTCATCGGCCAAGGCTTGCAATTTTCTAAACGGATGGGTGTCTCTCGAGCTCGGGCACGACGGTCCCGTTGCTGTTGGACGATCTTATCGCGGTGTCGATGGTAGTACTTGCGGTTGAGTGCCCGTACTTGATCTCCGTGTGTGGCTCGGTATCGGTTACAGGCCAACCGATTCAATTCACGAGCTCTGGCCAACTGTTCCTGGGTCGGAGGTGGTTTGGGTGGCTTGGGCGGTTTGAGTTTTTCTGAGCCACCCGCTTCTCCCGTTTCTGTGCCACAATCCTCTCTCTATGCTTGAGGTACCACCGCTTCTTAGCTTCTTTTCACTTTCTCTGGATCTTTCGGCATGTCTCGAACGCAACTGACGTCTGGTCTGAACGTTGGCTTATATCTAGCCCTCTTTCCGCCAATCACTGCTCTCGGTCCAGGCTCAGAGGAGACTGGAAAAATCTGTACCCATGGGGGCACCCCCTCAATCTCCTCCTGTCTAATCAACCCCTCACCTGACCCTCACCTGACTCTCACCTGAGCCCCATCCACCAATCCCTGTTCATCTGATCACGTGTTTTTTAGGTTCATAAAGTCCGCGTCTGGCGCGGGAACATTCAAATTGCCTCCTCCGTCATGGCGGAGGACCACTGGTATCCTGACAGTGATGAAGAAGAAGAAGAAGCTCTATTAAACCGCGCTTATGACCGGTGGGGAACAATTGGGCGGAGCCGTTCCCGCTCGAGGCCCTCTCTTTCAGTTTACCATGCAACCTATAGGTCGACGACGCCGCTGGCGTAATGTAGTGGAACGCGCACAATTCAATGCGCAATTGCGTCAATTGAGGGATCCTGGTCCTGGAGATAATATTGGATGGCCCTCACGGAAGCCTTGCATCAAGCCATTGAAACAGAACTTGACCGCGAGCAGCGACCTGCCCATCATTTTGTGAACTTTGCTATTACAGCGCATGGGTTCACTCACGCGTATCAAACCGCTAATTTTACTGTGGGAGAATTTTTTACAACGTACGGCTCGTTTGGATGAGATGTTAGCTACCCTAGCTGGCAAGTTGAACAGCAATGAAGCCTTCAACCCCGATCGTGGGTTCCAAGTGGATGTGGTGTTTGTCTCCATGCCCGGCCCAGGGTCTGGTCGACATAAACAACGCAATGTGGGACGTTTATGTTTGGATCGAGTCAACCAGAAAAAGAGATGCATTGTCCCCATCAAAATAGAGATACCCTATGCTGTGCTCGTGCTATTGTCACCATGCGTGCTTATTGCCATAAAGATCAAGGCGTGGACGGGTTTCGCGACTGGGAGAACCTCAAACGTGGTCGTCCTGTGCAGCAACGTCAAGCCCAGGCCCTCCATCAGCAAGCGGGTGTCGCGGAGGTCCCCTGTGGCATCCCCGAGCTTCGTCAGTTTTCAACAAGCCTTGGGGTCTCACTATCAACTCTTGGTGATGACCCGGATGAAACTGTTCTTTTGATTTTCAAAGGCCCTGACGCCCCTCATCAGATTCGTTTACTCAATCCAACGATCATTTTGATGGCTGCACGTCTTTTCCCTGCCTTTGTCAATCGTTCGTATTATTGCCTGACTGTGAACGGGGGTTCAACACCGACGATCGGACCAATCATACTTGTCAAGGGAGACGTTGCTCTGCGTGTGGACGTTTTGATTGTCCGGATTGTGCGTGGCACCCGCCCCACTGAGTATTGCTGTCTGTGTTACCGCAAGTTTTATGGCCATCAATGTAAACGTTATCATGAAATCAGCAAGCAATGTCAATCCATCAAAATCTGTCTCAAGTGTCAAGCCCAATACACAGTCGTCCGTAACCAACGTCACCGGTGCGGGTACGCCAAATGCCCAGCGTGTCAGGAATGGGTGTCCATCCAGAACCATAAATGTTACATTCAGCCTGTGGAGGATGAGCATGAGGAGACTGAACCGACAGAGGAGGGGAGGTCGCATGGTGGCGCCACCCCTCCCTGTTTGTTTACGCAGATTTTGAAGCCATGCAGAATGCAGAAGGCGTGTTTGTGGCTAATTTGTTATGTTATTCGTCGAGTGTCGACACCACCATTCATGTCTTGGACGGGGAGGACTGTGCCCTCCAATTTTTGCGCGATTTGGATGATCTCACGGATGTTCCAGATTGTGAGGGCGAGCGGACGATACTCGTGGTGTTTCACAATCTAAAAGGGTTTGATGGTATGTTCATTCTCATGAACTCTACCAGCAACAACGCGAGGTGGATCAACTGACCGTGGGCGCCAAAGTCTTATCGTTCAGAAGTGGACCCCTCAAATTCATCGACTCGTTGTGTTTTTGCCCATGCTGCTGGCTTCCTTTTCCAGTACCTTCAATTTGACCGAATTAAAGAAGGGGTTCTTTCCCATTTGTTCAACACCCCGATCACCAACAGTATGTGGGCCGCATCCTGATTTGGAATTTTACGACCCCGACGGCATGATGGCCAAAAGAAAGAGGAACTGACTCGTTGGCATGCGGATCAAGTCCGTCGGAACGTGCCCTTCCATTTCCAACAAGAAATGATTGAGTATTGCAAATCCGATGTTGGCTCTATTGAAAGCTGGGTGTGAAGCCTTTCAACAAGAATTTGAACAACAGGCGGGCTTCAATCCTATGGCCAAGTGCATCACCATCGCCAGTGCCTGCAATTTGTATTGGCGCAAGCATCATTTGACCCCGACACCATTGCAGTGGAACCTCTCGAGGGTGGCGAGGGGCCCAAGTCAATCATTCCTCAAAGCCCTCCAATGGCTCTATTACCAAGAACATCTCCTTCCCAAAAGGGGCTAGTGCTGATCGCATACGTCACGTTCGTAATGGCGGCGAACAGTCGGTCCGTGGAACCAGCGTCGACAGTCATTTCGTCGATGGCTACGATCCTGTGACTCGCACCGTCTATGAGTTCCACGGATGTCTCTACCATGGCTGTCCCGCTGTTATCCCGCGAGAAACGCCAAACATTATGCCACACCGGATCGAACCGTGGAGGAACTCTATCAAGCCACGCTCTCCAAAACGCACGGCCCTACCTGAGCAGGCTATACCGTCATCGAAATATGGGAATGAATGGGACCGACTAGTGGACACGGATGAAGCTGTTCAACGTTTCTTGAATTCCTTGATTTGGTGGCACCCTGGAACCCGTGAAGCCTTCTTTGGAGGTCGAACCGGTGCCGTGGCTCTGCATGCCGTAGCTGGAGAGGGGAGGAAATACGCTATGTGGATGTGACCTCCCTGTACCCGTGGGTGAATAAAACTGTCCCTATCCCATCGGGCATCCGCGGATCATCACGCAGCCTGTCGACCAGTCCCTGGACCCTATTTCGGTCTAGCCACCGTCGATATTCTTCCCCTGCTGGTTTGTTCCATCCCGTTCTGCCTGTGCGTAGTGGCCACAAGCTCACCTTTCCTCTCTGCCGTGCCTGTGTTCAGACCGAGCAGGCCCAACCCATGTTGACCTGAACCCGTTATTGCCCTCATTCCGATGTGGATCGCACGCTACGTGGGACCTGTTGCACACCCGAATTGGTCAAAGCGGTCGAAAAGGGGTACACGCTGATCAAGATTCACGAAGTCTGGCATTTTCCTCCCGAGCAACGCCAATCGGGTCTTTTGCCGATTACGTGAACACCTGGCTCAAGATCAAACAAGAATCGGCAGGGGTGGCCCGGCTGGTGTCAGACCCTCGAGCAAAACACAACTACATTCTTCGTTACCAGGAACGGGAAGGCATCCGACTGGACATTGCCAGCATTGCCAAAAATCCCGGTCGCAAAGCCACGGCCAAGCTCATGCTGAACAGTTTCTGGGGCAAATTTGGGGGAGCGGATCAATAAACCCACCACTGTCACCGTCCAAGACCCCGCCCAATTGTTCAATCTCATCTCGGATGCTGCCCTCGACCTTAGTACGCTCCGCCTTTGCACAGACGATATCTTGGAAGCCGTTTACACCAGTGTCCAAGACAATGCTGTCAAAGGCACCAAGACCAATATTTTTGTGGCCGCTTTCACTACATGCCATGCTCGACTCAAGCTCTACGAGTCTCTGGATACCCTGCAACAGCAAGTCCTTTACTACGACACTGATAGTGTGGTATACAAAATGGCGGCCCGGTCAACCCAGCATTGCCACTGGCGATTTTTGGGGACATGACCGACGAATTGGACGGTGACGTCATCACCGAGTTTGTTTCGGGGGTGCTAAGAATTATGGGTACCAGACCCGTGGAGGCAAAGTGGTATGCAAGGTCCGCGGTTTCACGCTCAACGTCCGTGGATCCGCTATTCTCAATTTTCAGAACCATGAAAGACAACATTCTCTTTTGAATTGGATTCGCCCCAGGAGTCTCGACGCAATTTGAACCTGACCAACCCTTATTATTTCAAAACGAGATTTGGAACAAAAACAAATTCAAGTGGTTCGCGTGAAGCAGTAAGGGTTGGTGTTCGACAACGCGTTATTGAGGTCGCCACCGATCCAGTTATCCCTATGGCTACCAGAGGATTGGGAACGAACTCGATTTGCTATTAGATTTGTAATGGGCGTGACGTCAGTAGGGCGTCACACACGTCCCACTTGTACCCAGGGTTTTACGCGGTCATTAAAACTATGTCAAGAATGTAGATTCAACTCTTGTGTGTGCGTGTTCTTTATTCCTATGGGGTCACGTGGTTTAAAACAATGGGTTGTGACGTCAATAAGTCACATGGGCGAAATGCGCGATGCTGATTGGTCGAGACGAAATTTGCTGCGCTCTGATTGGTTAGGACCCCAAGTAGCCATATGTACTACTCAGTTGGTGCACTCATTTCCACGCACGTTAACAAACTCAGAGAAAAGACAGAAGTCAGGGGTTGGAGGCTTCACAAGAAGATCCAAATTAGTCAAGGAAACTCTCCAGTAATCCCGGTAGTCCACTCCATCGGTTATAAAATTACAAGTGGCTCGCCAGTGAGTGGACACTTTTTGAATTGACTTTATACGGGACATCGAGAGACGGTAACTACTCCAATCAAGCGTATCCTGATTGATGAGCATGTCGTGCTGGTAAAATGGTTTTCTTACGAACGCGCCATTATTTCCTAAGGAATGAGACTGAATCAGAGTCCATGCCATACCGGGCTCGGAACCAAAGTCGCAGTAGACTGGGGAAGAATTGTTACTGTTCCCCACAATTTCGTAAATGCCTTTGATGCTTACATCTTTATACTTCATGACGTCTTTACATGACCGAAGCACGAATTGACACTTGTATCCGCTGAAAGCGGGCGGACATGTGCAGTTGAATCTTCTCTTTGTGACGTCACACACTTCATGACACGTGCCTCC